GATTACCAGCTAACACAACCGACAAATCAGTGTCTCTCTCAGAAGGCAAATATGACTAGGAACCTGACTTGGAAATGGAAAAGACAGAATCCAAGAACTAGGTAAGACTATATACAGCAGGCTTAAACCTGTCCTTTAAAAACAACTATTTTTATGTATCATGAATTTCTGTTGCTATTTGCTTGTAGTATTGACTTATGTACATTTTGAAAATTCCTTCCTGTTCCAGTTGTGCTAAGGCATTACATTCTCAACAGGGACAAGACATTAATATTTCATGAGAAGGAAAGTAATAATACAAAAGAAAGTCAACGACACTATGCTAAGGGGTGTCAAGAATGGTGTATTCTTGAGGATTGGCTACACAGGAGCATAAAAGTAAGATACAGCCACAGATGAGGCAAGTTGGCTATGAAGTTGCTGGAGATGGACCACAAAATTTGTCTGATTTTTTTAAGAGTCATATGAACTGTTACAAGATAAAAGTAAATTCAGTTGTTGAGAAATCCCATTACTCTCAATTCTAAAACTTGATTTTTCTTACAGAAATGAGGGCAAGAAATATCATCATTAGAAATGTCTATGACACAATAGCAAAGCTCCAGTGGTGAAAGGCAAGGACTTTGTTAATCTGACTTTAATCCAGGGACAGGCTTAAGGGTCTGTGTCAAAACAGGTAGCTACCTTAAAGTCAAAGACATTTTTTTCTTTCTTTTTGAAACTGAGTCTCATTCTGTTGACCAGGCTGGAGTGTAGGGGCATGATTCTGGCTCACAGCAACCTCTGCCTCCTGGGTTCAAGAGATTCTCATGCCTCAGCTTCCAGAGTAGCTAGGATTACAGGCGCCCACCACCATGCCCAGCTAATGTTTGTATTTTCAGTAGAGATGGCGCCGGGGTGGGGTGGGGTGGTGTGGTGTGTGTCACCATGTTGGCTGGTCAGGTCTCGAATCCTGATCTCATGTGATCTGACAGCCTCAGCCTCTCAAAGTGCTAGGTTATAGGCATAAGCCACCACACCCAGCCAAAGATATTTTTTATTGTAAAATAAATCTCTCACCAAATATCTTGGCATCTTCCACACATCTCTGGGTTCGCCTCCTTATGTTTTCACAATCAGCTACAGCTCTCTGGTATCTCACCTGAACATCAAAAGCAAAATCAAAAGGATGAGAAAACAAATGCCTATTGGTGAAAGAGAACGTTTTTGCTTACTTTACACATTTCACCCTTCTGATAGGTTTTTATAAAACAAACTAGGAGTTACAGAAATCTTAATTCAGCTACTCCAAACCCCTAGTCAAAGCAGAAACCTACTCTTTAGCAGCACTGCTAGGTAGTCATTTAGCCTGCTAGTTCAAACTCCTAATAGTCTTTAAGTTCATTATCTTGAGAAAAAGCTTTGTTTTTCACATTCAGCCAACACTGCCAACCTCCAACTTCCTTTCATTGACTTGAACTTAGGAAAACTGAGAATAAGTTTTAAAAGTATGTCATCTAGGCAGGGCATGGTGGCTCATGCCTGTAATCCCAGCACTTTAGGAGGCTGAGATGGGTGGATCACCTGAAGTCAGGAGTTCAACACCAGCATGGCCAACATGGTTGAAACCCCGTCTCTAATAAAAATATAAAAATTAGCTGGGCATGGTGGCAGGCGCCTATAATCCTAGCTACTTGGGAGGTTGAGGCAGAAGAATCACTTGAACCTGGGTGGCAGAGGTTGCAGTGAGCTAAGATGGTGCCATTGTACTCCAGCCTGGGCAACAAGAGTGAAGCTACGTCTCATAAAAAAAAAAGTATGTCATCTATTTGGAGGCAGTTATTTTACCCTCTTTAGTCCTTTTCTTTCTCATTCTTATTACAATTCTTGGTTCCTTCAATTACTGTCATAAGGTATGCTTTCCAGCCTCCTTACCTTTTTAGGTGGTTTTGCTTTGGAATTCCTCTGGTTTATCTATCTCCCTTTAAGTGTGTCTACTGTCAGACAACTAAGTGCTGTGACATAACAGGAAACTGAAAAGAGACGACTATCTTTAGCCAGTGGTGTTTTTGAACTACTACAGTTTTTTTTTCTGCCCAGTATACCTAGCAAGGGAGTGGAGGAGGGATGAGGGATAGCACATAAAGAGCCAATTGGAGAAAACTTCATTTTAAAAATTGACATAAAAAACTTTATGTGGACATTTAAACTAGAGAGAGGATATGAAGAATAGAAAATAACTCACCGTTAAATCCTGCACTTCCTTCTCCAGTTTAACAGCTTTTATCCTTAAGGCTCGTTCAGCAAGAGAGGGCCCAAGCTCATCAGGAGGGTCCTCAGAACGGCAGTCCTCACCAGCAGTTCTCTGGATGGCAGTGCTGAATAGAAGTGGCCATCCCCTAAAACAGGAAGGAGGTGGCACATAATTAAGAAATGCCATCATAAGCCAAAATTACAATCAAGTTTAGAGACCAGAGATCTTTCCAGATTGAATCTCTGGAGAAAGTGTTTTCAGTTATAGTAACAAATGAACACTTAATGAAGTCCTTACTCTGTACCAGACACTATCATCTTTTCTTCTCACAACAATATGTGAGATAAACCCTACCATCATCCCTATTTTACAGATGAAAAATATGATGCCGAGAGGCCTAAGGCATGAAGACCTGTTCAAGATCACATAGTTGGTAGTCTGCTGGGTCAGGACACTGAGCACCAAGCAGCAGAAATAGCCAGAACTAGGTATACAAAAGTCAGCATAAGGAAACCAAATGCTAATACCCAGAACCAAAGGAGCATTATCAGAAGTGGGCATTCAAAAAGTCATATAGTTCTGGTTCAACCTTCCATCTCACAAATGGGGGAAATTAAGTCCAGTAAAGGGACCTTATCACACTGGAGTTAGGCTTAGAATTCTAAGCCTTCTTCACTACAAGTTATAAGGCTTTTAGGAGAACCTGTGCTGAGAAAGAAATTCCCACCTATATATAAGATCAAGTCAATGAAATACAACACTATATGTTACTGTTAGTGAACTATAGACACAGGTGAAAACAGGTCTTTGCATTCAACTCATTATGTAATCTAGAATTTTGTACACCTACACTGAGTTCAAACAGAACGAAATTTGGACTAGGGGCTAGTTTACAGCAAATCTTGGACTGTGGCAGTCCTGACCTCCAGGTCAAGGAAGTTTCCATGACTTTAACTAAAATTGTCATGAAAATCAATCTGAGTACAAAAGTCCTTTAAACCCATTTATATGGACTGGCATATATTGTAGAGTGGTCCTTGAGGAGACAGCTGAACAAAGGTTTAAAGGGGGTAAAGAAGTTGGCTTTAAAAAAGGGAAGAGCGTCCTAGGCAGAGCAAACAGCTAGTTTAAAGGTGTAGGCAAGAGGACTTTTATCTCCCTGACTTTCCAAGCCAGTCTTAAATTCAATTATTATAATCTGGTGTGTGATTTTATAGACAGTTCCACATTTTGGGGTCAGAAAATATGGTCATGGTGGATCTGGGGCTAATTACACACAGTGAAACACCTCCTTCTCCCTAAAAAAACACATTTATCCAATTAAAAAGGCAGGTCAAAATAGTCTCAGGGCCAGTTCAAAGGGAAAATAGCCAAAGCTCAGACCAAGAAGTAGGGGGTGGCAGTTGTGGCCAATCTCAATTCCTACTGCTTCAGAGCTGGAACAGGGAGACAGCTTAGAAAAAGGAATCATCTTTCTTCTGATCATTTCCTTACATCACCAACAAGCTGCCAAAAAGACTTGAGAACGGAAAACAAAACCAAGTCCCGAAACCCTGAATGCAACCTCTCACTCAGGTGCTACGGGGCAGGATGTTGGGTCAGATGTGTCAAGGTAAATAGGATTACATACATAGTTAAGCACATTTACCAGATTCTCCCGTAGCTTACTTTACTATTCAGAGGTCCAACCCTACCTCCTACTCAACCATTTTTATTCTCTTTCCCAGGAAGAAACAATGTGTGGGCAATAGACCTTGAGAAAATTGGTTAACATGTCTCATTAAACAACAGCGCCGATTCTAACGCCCTGACTGGTTTCCAGCCTGGGTTCCACCACTTCCCAAATATTTAAGTTTGGAAAAGTTACTCAACTTTTCTTTTCTAAACCTCAGTTTCCTCAGTTATTAAAAGGGGAATAATAAAAAGGACCATCCATAGTTCTGCAGTCGGCCTCGTAAGCGACCAATAAAAGCTACCGATGGATAAAGGCAGCAAATGGAACTTGTCTCCCGAAGGCTGATGCAATGGCCGTTTCGAGAATCCAAGTTCAGCGGCCTTCTTTTACTGACAGGTACAACAGTGCCCGGATAACGGAGAAAGGACTGGCCTAAGGTCCCACGGAGAGAGGGGCGAGAACCCAAATTTACCCACAGGTACCACAGACTGGGAGAAGCAGCTGTGAGAGGTAAATCCCTCCCTTGGGGGCTTAGAGACTTCTCACCTTCCAGGCCATGCATGACCTCGGACCTCCCCACCTTCCTCGGCCTAGGACTGAGGCGCAGCTGGGGGTCTCAGTTTCCCCGTCTGCAAAATGGGACCGTGAGTGCATGGTCGTAGAGGGAGCGGCTTGGTCCCATCGCCTACGCTCAGATAACTCTCGCCTTCCAGCCCACAACTACCCGGCTGGCTCGCTAGCCCCGCAGAGTCCTCACGCTCCCGACCCCTCGCGTGCAACGCTTACTTGTTCTCCCACGCGGCAGTCGAGGACAGTAGGCACTGCACCCGCAGCCGGCCAGCCCACAGCGACCGCACGGCCATATTCCCGATTTGGGCTGACGGAGGCAGCGCACGCGCACTTGCTGCGAGTGAAGAGAGACGCTCCCGCTTCAAAACCAGCCTTTGCGGGCGTTTCCTTGTAAGGGCTTCCGGACTAGAACGCTATACTTCCGGTTGCCCTGTTTGGGGGAGGGGGGGCGCAGTTCCCCATCCGGTCGTCCGGAGCGAACGCGACACTTCCGGCTCTCAGTGTGTTCCGCTAGTAGACCAAGTCGTAGTAGTTACTACAAAGGCTGCGTGTTGAGCGTACAGCAGATCATAGCTGTGCCCGCATGGAGCTTACTTTGATATTATGAGTGATAAACAGATACAAGCGGGATGTAAAGTCAGAACGTGAGCAGTGTTTAAAGGTGAGGGGCAGGTGCTGGGGAAGCCTAGAATACAAATCTAGCCGTGTGGGAAGTTTTCCCAGAGGAAGGGGTGTTTGAGCTGAGCTGAAGGAAGGGTTCAGGCAGAGGGAAATATCTGCAGAAAGCCTAGTAAAGAGAGAAGAGTATTGCACGTACCGGACTGAAATACACAGAGGCGGGAGGGAAACAGGACTAGTGGTTAGGCAGGGCTAGATCCTACGTGAACGGTTTAAAACATTGCAGCCTGAACCATTGCCTATCGCTCCTCCCAGACTTTTTCCTCTAATGCCCTTCTTATCGACTTGTTTTTTAAATGGTGTGTATTTTCTCATTTCTTCTCACTAAAATATAAGCTCTTTTAGGGTAGATATATTGTCTGTTCATTCCCATTCATTGAGCAGTGCCCTAATGTAGGTGTTCAAAATTATTATTTTTGAGATAGAGTATCACTCTGTCACCCAGGCTGGAGTGCAGTGGCAAGATCTCGGCGGCTCACTGCACCCTCCGCCTCCCGGGTCAAGTGATGCTCCTGCCTCAGCCTCCTAACTGGGATTACAGGCGCCCACCACCACATCTGGCTATTTTGTATTTTTAGTAGCGACGGTGTTTCACCATGTTGGTTAGGCTGGCATTGAATTCCTGACCTCAGGTGATCCGCCACCCTCAACCTTCCAAAGCGCTGGATTGCAGGCATTAGCCACCGCCCCCAGCCTCATTTTTTTTTTTTTTTTTTTTTCTGAATGCAATTTAGTCTGTTTCTGATTGCAATGGAATGTGAAAATAAATAAAATGTAAAAGCTGTTGGAACTTCCCAAGTACTTTAAGCTTTGAGAGAGATGTGGCTGTGTTCCGAATCCATGTAGCATGTTTTGTAATTCCGCTTCTTAGAATTATAGCTTAATTCTCTTCCTCATTGTTCTTGTTCTATAATGACTAGGAAAGAGCAGAGACCAGATTTCTCCCCTCTCAATCACTGATGTTTGTAATAGATGGCCTCCTTTGTTGTCCTGTACCTAACTGAGACCAAATGGTGCCCTGAACACGGACCCTAAGACAGTTACATCTTCAGGGTGTAATGTGAAATACACCGTTCTCGAAGGAAAAAGACAGTCTTAACTACTCAGTTCATTGTAACTATATATTAAGCTTTGCATATAAAGATGTTGAAATTGCTAAACTTAATTGACTTCTGCAGTTTGGAACACTGATTTTCATCCTGTATAAGACAGATACATTCTTCCATTCTGTGCTTCCTGGGCAGGCCATCCTCAACCTTTGTGCTTGAACGAACTCTCTTTAAATGAGATCCTGACCTTTTAAATTATTTTAGATCGACAGGGAACATGTGACAAATGCTGTGTTTAAAGAGTCACTTTGACTGCGGTGTGGAGCAGACTGCAAGGTATAAGAAAAAAGGTAGGGAAGCCAGTGGGTTCCAGTAGCCCAGGCAAGACAGGGCTATGTTCTCTCCTGGGAGAACAGAGAGAGACCTTCCTAACCACTCTAAAGTAACTGTGTCCAGTACCCATTTTGTGTCTTTTCTTTTGCTTCCTTGTTAAAGATCATTCCTCCAACTAGAATGTGAGCTTCCTGAGGTCTTACCACTGATTTCTGATATCTAGTATAGTAGGTATTCAATAAATATTTGTTGAATGACTTAAGTTGGATCGTATCAGTGAAGATAGGAAGATATAGATAAATTTTAGAGATTTAGGATGAAAACCTGACAGACTTGTGAGGATGGATTGGTGATTGGGGTCCACGACACTTGGAGTTGTCAGCTTAGTTTCTAGATAGTCTCTAAAAAAATTTTTTTAAGGGAATGAGAAGTGTTCTTTGAGCACTCTGAATATTGTCATAACATGGGTTACGCGTTTATTGTCCTGTAGTTATTTGGGTCAGATTTTCTTTTCTGCATGTCTGTGAGTTCCATGAGGACAGAGCTGGAGTATTTTCATTTTTTTATCTAATCCGATGCCCAACTCAAATGTGTCATGACCCATAACTTATATTTTCTTTTTGGCCTTATGAAAAGGTGACATGGTTTAGGGAGGTATTGTGATTCTCTTTTACATATGAGAAAATTGAGGCTCAGAAAGGTTGGTAAACCTGTGCAAGATCCTCCAATAAGGAGACAGTTACAGTAGAATTCTGACAGATTAGACACTTGGCAGTGTTGGGAAGGATGGAGCTTCAAGTCTACCTTAGACCGGTGGCTCACACTTCGGAAAAACACAACCAAACAAGGCTTTTTTTTTTTTTTTGAGATGGAGTCTTGCTGTTGCTCAGGCTGGAGTGCAGTGGTACAGTCTTGGCTGACTGCAACCTCCGCCTCCCAGGATCAAGAGATTTTCCTGCCTCAGCCTCCTGAGTAGCTGGGATTACAGGCATGTGCCACGATACCCAGCTAATTTTTGTATTTTTGGTAGACATGGGGTTTTGCCATGTTGGCCAGGCTGGTCTCGAACTCCTACCTCAAGTGATCCACCCACTTTGGCCATCCAAAATGCTGGGGTTGCAGGTGTGAGCCACTGTACCTGGCTCTTTTTTTTTTTTTTGAGGCATTTTAACAACCTAGGACAAGAATTGGCATCTGTGCCTTAGCCATTTTGCTTACATTTCTCTTAGCTGCCCAACGTTCACCAGGTTGCTGCTTGCACCCACGCATTCACTCATCTATTTATTAAGTGCTAGTGTACTTCTGAATGTTGCAGTACAGGGGGAGAGAGATAAATGGATGACATAGAGCTTTAAGAGTAAGGGTTCTAGGGTTGGACTTCTTATTTTCATGTACTGGTTCCACCACTTCTTATGTGAGCTTGGGTAAATTACCTGACCTAGCTGGGCTTCCATTTCCTGAACTGTGAAAACTGGGATAATATAACTTATCTCAGGGTTTTAGTGAAGACTAAAGGGATAGTGCCTGGAAGAGTGGTGAGTTAGCACCAGGACTGGCTACGTAGTTTAAAGGGCAAGAGGAAAAGCAGAACCCTGGGTTTAAATATTATTAAGAAGGCAATAATAGAGCATTAAACTAAGCACAGGGCCCTTTTAAGCATGGGGTCCTGTGTGACTGCACGGGTTGCATGCCTGTGAAGCTGGCCATGGCTGACACAGTGCCTGACACATGGTGAGTGCTTGATAAATCTTAATTATTAATTACCCACAGCCACTCCTCTCAGAGTCCAAGATTTGTTGGTGAGAAAAGACACTTAACCCCAAAGTAACTGCATAAGAAAGAGTATGACAGACACTGAAGACACAGTTGGAGTGTTGGGTGACATTCCAGGATCCACATTTAAAAAAAAAAACTGAAAATCCAGAGTACGTGAGCCCCTTTCACTGTGAAAACACAGGTGGAATTTGGATGAAAACTCTCAGTTATGTATTGGTTACCTTTTAGCGTTTGGTGGCTGTAATTATCATGTAAAAGTAATTTCTTCCTCAGTGGAAAGAACACAAGCTTGTGAGTCAACATTTCTCATATAGCTAATAATAAGAGCCACTTTTTTTTTTCAGTAGATGGGGTCTTGCTATTTGCTTAGGCTGGAGTGCAGTCGCGATGAACAGGGATGATCATAGTGCACTACAGTCTCAAACTCCTGGGCTCAAGTGGTCCCCCTGCCTCAGCCTCCTGAGTAGCTGGGACTACAGGTGTGTACCACGATGCCTGGCTAGTGAGAGCCACTACTGACTAAGCATTTCCTATTTCTCAAACACTCTGCAAGATGCCTACTATGTATTATCTTATTAAATCTTCCCAAAAATCTTGGGAGAAAAGTACAATTGTTAATCCCATTTCACAGATAAGGGAAACAAGAATCAAAGCAGTCAAGTGAGTTTCCCAAGGTCACCCAGCTGGTTATCAGAGGCAGGGCTGAATCCTAGCCCTATCTGGATCTGGGCTTATAACCCCTAAGTCCTATGCTCTGCCACTAGTCAGTGGGTGATCACTGGGTCAGGTTATTTTTCCTGCTGTGGTCTCCAGCTACTTCAGAGGATGATAAAGTTTGGGTGAGGCTAAAGTCTGTAAAACCTTAAATGGGTTAAATATGTAAACTCTATAGCAAAGTGTCCAAGGTTATTCTGAGATTTTCCTTCCTTCTTCTTGAGCTAAGCTCTGGCTTTTAAGAAGTGGTTATATCTTTTTTGGAAGGAAATGTGTTAAAGACAGACACGGAAAGTACCTAGAGTGTTGAGACAGTAGTGAGTAGCACAGTAAGGAGACTGCCCAGGACTTGATGTCCATACTCCCCTTATAAAAGTATCAAGTGTTTGTAAAAGGTTTAGCACCCATGTGAGAGAAATAAGCCATCATCCTCTTAATTTCTCTTGGTTTTACTTAATATATAGAAGGGCAGACTAATGGGCCTCTGAGTGCAAGATGAGGACTTCATTAGAATAAAGACATATTGCCTCTTGGATTTCTAAACCCATAGCTCCAAGAGCCTCAGCATCAGAAGTTAGGTAAGGGACCTGATTGACTGAAAGACCCTACCCTACAACATCCTGTGGACATTAGAGCTCTGTGTTCCTGTCACTGAGTATCACTGTGAGCTTACAATATGTCAGCTATTCCATTTTTCATTCCTTTTGTGTATTCAGAACTCTGATTTTAAAACACTCAAATCTGAAAGATTCCAGTAGCTGCACTCTGTCTAAAGTAAATGAGGAATGACTGTAGAATTTGCATGTCTTCTATAGATTTTGTTCACATGTATGCAGGCAGGAATAATGTTGATTGTTCAACCTCTTTGCCTTGCCCAGTGGTTGTCAGTAATGCCCAATATGAATCTAGTTGTCACAAGTGTGATCGGATGATCAGGTCTTGTCTCTTTCACTGCACCACCAATGCTTGAGTGCTGCCTCCCTTTGCCTTAAGGACTGGGAGTATGATGCTGTGAATGGATGGAAGGGGTTATTCACATGTGCTTTCATTTCTTCTTCAGAAGGGAAGGCAAAGACATCTACAAAACCTTTACGCTGTGCAGACATCTGTCTCCCTCCATCCTCATTTCCACCCTTTTAAAGTCATAAGGATGCTCTCAATTTCCCTCTTCCCTTCTACTTCTTCCCTCCCCATATCCCCTAAAATCATGCAGACAATAAAGCCTGGTCTTTTTGGTGCCCTGGAGAATGAGGGCTACTTCCTAGTCTTCTCTTGGTGTCTCCTTGTGAAAAAAGCATTTCTTCCTCAGGTGGACAAGCTGGTATTTCCTTTGGAATGAAATCCTTATCCTCTTCTTAGGTCTTCTTCATTTCCCATTCCTGAAGCACAGAAAGACAAGACAAATCAATTTGATGAATGGTCTAGTGTGAGATGGATAAAGACATTGCATGGCACCTAGTTAGATGAAGATCTCCGCTGTCCAGGTTGCATTGGGTTCTAGCCCCCTCTCTCTGTGGCCCTGAGTAAGTCACTTCTCCATGCTGGTCTTTCTTGTCCCTTCATCCATTCTCAACATAGTTGCCTGAATGGTCTTTAAAAAATGTAATTCATATTCAAAACCCTTTGCTCAAAACCTTCCATCATATCACAGCAAGATTCATTATGTTAGAACAAGTTCTGTGGTTCCTCAGTGGCCTGTAAGGCTTTAAATAAAAGGCTGGTAAATGATCGTCTGTGGGCGCAGTCTGGCCTATTGCCTGTTCTCATATCATCCATCAGCTAAGAATGATTTTCTTATTTCTAAATGTTTGAAAAAAAAAATCAAAAGAAGATGACTATCTCATGACACATGAAAATTAAATGAAATTCAAATTTTAGTGTCTGTAAATTAAGTTTTATTGAGACACAGCCCTTTTCCTCATCATTTACATATTGTTGATGGCTATTTTCATGCCACAATGGCAGAGTTGAGAGGTTGTGGAACAGATCACATGGTTCAGAAAGCCTAAAATATTTACTCTCTAGCCCTTTACAGAACAAGTTTGCTGACTTCTGGTCTAGATGATCTGGCCCCTCACTGTTTACTTCTCTGATCTCAACTCCTAATGCTCACCCTTTGTTTTCTTCACTGGAATCACCTAGATCTTCTTGATGTTCCTCAAATATATCAAGCTTTTTCTCACTTCAGGGACTTGACACTTGCTCTTCTCTCTGCTGGGATCTTCCTTCCCTCAGCCCCATGCATGGGTCTCTACCTCACATCCATTCAGGTCTCTGCTTAAGTGTTACCTTCTCTAAAAGGTCTTTGCTGTCACTGAGCTTAAACCCCTTTGGAAGGTTCATCTTCTCTGGCATCACATTCTTTATTTAGGTATGGTACTTAAAGTCTTGTCTTCCCAACTCTATGTGACCAGGGACATTTTTGGGTTCCCTATTATGTAACCAGAAACTAGAATAAGACTGGCATATGGTAGGTCTTCAATAAATATTTGAATGACTGACTAACTGTTGGAAAGAATAAAGTCTCTTCCCTCTCAGGCTCTGAAAGTCAATTCCAACTTGAGGATGCAGCTCCAGCCTAGACATAGAGCCATGCTTTTTATTTTATTTGTTTTTTGAGACAGGGTGTCACTTAGTGTCATCTAGGCTGGAGTGCAGCAGTATGACTGCAGCCTCACCCCTCCCCTGGGCTCAAATGATCCTCCCACCTCAGCCTTCAGATCAGCTGGAACTACAAGCATGTGCCATCACACCCGGCTAATTTTTTTGTATTTTTGTAGACACAAGGTTTCACCATGTTGCCCAGGCTGATCTTGAATTCCTGGGCTCAAGCGATCCTCCCACCTTGGTCTCCCAAAGTGCTAGGATTACAGGTGTGAGACACTGTGCCTGGCCAAACCATTCATTTAAAAAGTCAGTGCTGGTGTGGTCCTAGACAAAATTTTGCCGATTCCCGAAGCAGTGTTGATATGAAGCTAATAAGCAGCTGCTTTTAAAATATATTCTAGTATGATATGCAATTTCAGGCCATACATGATCAGGTGCTGCCTGCCTCAATGGGGAATTCCATGCTCACACTCCCTCTCTGTGCTCCAGCTGCTCTGGCCTCCACCTGGCCATCAGGGACACTTGACAGCCTTTGGACCTGCTGTCTCTTGCTGGAAAGTTTCTGCTCTAGATCTTCTCATGATAGTCCTTCTTATCATTTGGGTCACTGCTAGGAGAGGCCCTTTCTGACCACTATGTATATTGCTCCAATCCTGCCCCTAGTCTCTGTCCCTTTCCATATATATACACATACATATTTTGTAGATGTATCACTGGAATTATCTTCTGGATATTCTGGAATTATCTTCTTATATTAGCAGGGTGCTTATGTATTATCTGTCTCCTTTCACTGGCTTAGAAGTTCCTTGAAAACCAGACCTTGTCTGTCTTGTTTACTGGTTTATCTACCACTTAAACTTCAGTCTATTCCACTATGAAATGGGGCTAAGAATGCTCACTTTACTTGGTTATTGCAAAGATGGATGAAGGAACATGTTCACAGTGTTTAGCAAAGTGCCAAGCATTTAGCAGATGTTAATATATGTTTCTTGAATGAATGGAGTTTTTCCACTACTTTAAACAGGATGTTCCCCTTTTTATTATTTTCCTAATTTTTAACTTTTATTGTTTGTTTTGATTTGATGTATTGTGAAATGATTATCACAGTCAACTTTAGTTAACACCTAGTTATCATTTGTGTGTGTGTGTGTGTGGTGAGAACATTTAAAAGCTACTTTTTAAAGCAGATTTCAAGTATACAATATGGTATTGTTAACTGTAGTCACAATACTGTATATTAAATCCCCAGAACTTAGTCATCTTAAAACTGAAACTTTGTATCCTTTGACCAACATCTCCCCAGTTTCCCCAGCCCTCAGCCTCTAGCAACCATCATTCCATTCTCCCCCTTTAATTTTAAATTAATAAAGATGAATTTTATATTTTCATATTTAAAAAAGAGATTGTTCCTGGAAAAGTCATCAGTTTCCACATTTCTTAGCTTAGGATTTCTTAGTTCAGGTCCTTCTATATCACACTATCTTTCCAGTGTCATCTCCTACCAATTTTTCAAATACTCTGTGCTGCTGCCAAACAGGTCTAGCAAAGGCTTCCTGAGCATCTCTGATGTGCTAGGCATTTGTTTTTTGGGTCCTGCTATGATTTGAATGTTTGTCTCTTCCAAAACTGATGTTGAAATGTAATCCCTAATGTGACAGTATTGAGAGGTGCAGCCTTTAAGAAGTGATTGGGTCATGATAGCTCTGTCTTCATGAATGGATTAATCCATTCATGAGTTAATGCATTAATGAGTTACCATGGGAGTGGGACTGGTGGTTTTATAAAAAGAGGGAGAGAGACTTGAGCTAACATGCTTGGTCCCCTCACCATGTGATGCCCTAGGTCACCTCCAGACTCTGAAAAGAGTCCCCACTAGCAAGATGGTCCTCACCAGATGTGGCCCATCAACCTGAGACTTCTCAGCCTCCCAAACTCTAAGAAACACATAGTTTTTTTTTTAATAAATTATCCATGTTAAGGTATTCTGTTATAAGCAGCAAAAAATGGACCAGGACAGGTTCACACTTTATCTGCAATTCTGAAATCCAGAAAGGTGTGAAACCAAAATATTTCTCTACTGTTTTGGTACAGACTTATTTGGTGGCAAAACCTGACCTGACCTGATATGAGGCTGTTTATAATCTTTATTCCCTCCATGTGCTATAACTATTCCTATGTCTTACTGTAGAATTACTAACATGTTTGCATACATGATACCACCTGTTGGGGTTTTCACCATATATTAGTGTAGGTACCATATTACCTTTATAAAATCCAAAAAGTTCTGAAACACAGCGGACCCCTAAGTCACACAGAAGGGATTGCGGACCAGCATTCTTGAGGGAGCCATGGACTTAGAATTGGAAGAGGTGGGTTTTCTTCCTTGCTTTTGCAATGATACCATGCATGGCCCTGGGCAATCCCATCATCCTCAATTTTCAGTTACCTCATCTATGAAATGGGGCCTGTCCTGTCTCAAAATGCATTGTAGGCTCAGAAACCAGACAATTGAGCTTGCTAGAAATATGTGTTAACAACGAGTGAATAGGTTCTGAATAAGATCTGAGGATTATTCCCTCTGAGGAAGGTTCATGAGTTTTATTGCCTAAATTTATTGGCAGTTCTCTTCCTTTCTCACTAATTGATTTTTTGGTTTTGGGTGAAGTTCCACAGAACTACCAGAATCTGAAGTTCCACAGAACTACCAGAAGCTACCAGATCTCTGATTTTGATGAACTCAACTATTGCTCTACCTTGGCTTTCTGTAGCACTCTTCCTTGGTTGGTGGCTACGATGGATGGGCTCCTCTTCCTCAGCTCAGAAACACAGTTGACAGGCAGAGATTGCTCTGGAACGTTGTTCTGGGGTTTATTTGCAGTTCCCTGTTGATGGCAAGAAATAATTAGATAGGTGAGATCTGGAGATGGCTGCCTACACCCAGCCTGCCTTCAAAAGCATGAGAACACTTTATTTTTGAGACAGTCTCTTTGTCAACCAGGCTGGAGCACAGTGGTGTGAGCTTGGCTCACTGCAACTTCTGCCTCCTGGGTTCAAACGATTCTTATACCTCAGCCTCCCAAGTAGCTGGGATTATAGGTGTGCACCACCATGCCTGGCTAATTTTTGTATTTTTAGTAGAGACAGGATTTCACCATGTTGGCCAGACTGGTCTCAAACTTCTGACCTCAGATGATCCAACCATCTTGGCATCCCAAAGTTCAGGGATTACAGGTGTGAGCCACGGTGCCTGGCTAATTTTTGTATTTTTAGTAGAGATAAAGTTTCACCAAGTTGTCTAGGCTGGTCTCAAACTCCTGGGCTCAAGCAATCCACCCACCTTGGCCTCCCAAAATGCTGGGATTACAGGTGTGAGCTAATGTGCCAAGTTGCATGAGGAACTTTAAAATAAAAGGCACCTGGCAAACATGACAGCATTAAACAAAGTGAGAGGAGAAGATACTTGAGGCCCTTCAGATAATGACAACTACAAGTACTGAACCTCACTATGTACCAAGCATTGTGTGAATTAGCTCCTTTAGCTTTTCAATAAGCCTATGAAGTAGGTACCATTATTAGTCATTCCATTTTATAGGTGAGGAAATGGGGAAGGTCAAATTGCTGTGCAAGGTCACATGGCTGGTGAGTGTGAGAACCAGGATTCCAATTCCATAGCCCTACTTTTTTTTGTGACACAGAGTCTTGCTTTCTTGCCAAGGCTGGAGTTCAGTGGTGTGATCTCGGCTCACTGAAACCTCCGCCTCCCAGGTTCAAGCGATTCTCATGCCTCAGCCACCTGAGTTGCTCGGACAGGCATGTGCCACCACACCCAGTTAATTTTTGTATTTTTAATAGAGATGGGGTTTCACCATGTTGGCCAGGCTGGTTTAGAACTGCTGGCCTCAAGTGATCCACCCGTCTTAGCCTCCCAAAGTGCTGGGATTACAGGCGTGAGTTACCATGCCTGGCCCCACAGCCTGACTCTTAACCTCTCTCCTGTATTCCTTCTCATTTTTGAAATTACCTTTACCCCCTACATTTTCCAGATAATTGCTTAGTGTTAGTACCTTACTGGATGTAATTTTTTTAAGGGTGACATCTTAACAGCTAAGCCTGCAAGGAATTTAGATAAGGCTTCTCTTTATCTCCAAAGAATGTCAAAAGGATTCAAAACAGGGAAAAGTGCTTTAGACCAACTAGGGAATATTAGGCCATGCTGGTGGGAGGAAGCAGCTGGGATGAATGAAGAAGTTCTAGCTCCTCCACCAGCCCTCTGACTCTGGGAAGTTGTTTATCCTTGGCTGTCATGTTTTTCATCTATACAATGAGGTTGGAAACACCCCATGGAAAGGAAGTATAGGGGTGTAAGACACAGCACTGGCTCAATAAGCTGTGGTGTGACCAGGAAGCATGACCTGGGACAACAATAATAATGACATATGGCCTCCCACAAGTCATACTTATCAGACAAGTTATTTCATCTCTTTGAGTCTCAATTTCCTCACCCAAAAGCAGGCAAAACGTTTATTCATTTGGCAAATATTTCTTGTACTCCTACTGTTTTTCTGTAAAGGGGCAAGGATTTAATGATCAAATGGATGTAGTTCAATTCTTAACAAAAATACAATCTAGTGGAGAAGACAGACACTGGACAAGCAAGGACACAAATATATATACACACATGCATACACACAAATTGTGGTTAAGTGCTATAAGGAAGAAGAATAGAGGGAACTGTTGGTAATTTAGACCAACTAGGGTCAGTTTTGCTCTCCCAGGGGACATCTGGCAATTTCTGGAGATATTTTGGTTGTCATTGGAGGTTGGGGTGCTACTGGCAACCAGTAAGTAGAAGCTAGAGATGCTGCTTAACATGCTACTTGATATCCTTAGGTGGGACCTTAACATCCCTAACATCCTGCTGATGCATAGAACAGTCCCTTATAAAAAGGAATTACTGGTCCAAAATGTCAGTATGCTGAGGTTGAGAAACCCTGATGTAGATGAGATCAGGGAAGTTCACTCTGAGAAAGTCCCATTGCAGGTGGGAGTATCTTCTCACAGAGTTGCTGGGAGCATTAGAGACAATGGATGCAGAGCCCTGAAGACACGGCCTGGTACCCTGGAGATCTTAGGAGAGGGTATGTGAAACCGTTGTATTTTTTGTAGAGACAGGGTTTTGCCATGTTGCCCTAGAGGGCTCTGGAGCAGGGCTCTGGAGTTAGACTTCCTGGGTTAGGAATCCTGTCTTTCACTTCATTGAGTGACCTTGAGCAGTCATTTGACGTCTCTGAACCTTAGTTTCCTTGTTTGTCAGTAACCCCTATAATACTACACCTCATAGGATTGCCATGAAGATTGTGTGAGATAATACAAGTTAAGATGCTTGTAGTAATGGATCACACATGTTTGTTATTCAACATATGGTGGCTACCATTATCAATAACCCCAAGGCCATTTCTAAGATCACCTTCAGGGTTAAAAAGTCAAATGGTAGTGCTGCTGAGGAGACAAGAACAGGACTGAAAACCAAGATAAATTGCTCCAAGAGTCCTCTTTCTAGCTGTGGTACCCATGGCATGCCCTTCGCCTCTTTGGACTTCATTTTCTTGTCTGTGTAAATAGGCATAACCCCTACCTCCAAAGAATGATCATGAAGGAGAGCTCTGTAGAGACCGAAGGGATATAGGAGCAGCTGCCCCTGGCATGGAAGGCCCTGGACTCACCACACTCTTGGGCTTGCTGCTCATGGAGAGCCCCAGGGCCGGCCCCCCGGCCAGGGACTGCTGCAAGCGCTCCTTCACAGCCACCAGCTTCAGCTCCAGGTCAATCCGGCGCTCCTCCTTTGCCCGACACTCAGCTTCCAGGGTGGCCACGGCTTCTTCCAGAGCCTTTAATTTTGCTCCTGAATCAAGAGACGTTGAAAAGGAACAGCTGAACCTAACCTGAAGTGTCAGGGAATCTGGCAGGGCCTCAGGCCTTTGTCTGCCCCTCCTGGAGGGCCTTTCCAGCCCCCAGTCTTGGTAAAGAGATGGACTCTGGGCTTGGGGTTCCAACTCCATGCTGGGTGGTGTGGTCTTTATATGTTTGGTACCCATTTCACCATATCCTGGAAATAGCACTCTGATTTTTCACTGGGAAACCACCTTCCCCCTCTCATTCTCTCTCTCTCTTTTTTTTTTTTAGATGGATTTTTCACTCTGTCACCCAGACTGGAGTACAGTGGTGTGATCTCGACTCACTGCAACCTCCACCTCCTGGGTTCAAGTGATCCTCCTGCCTCAGCCTCCCAAGTAGCTGGGAGTACAGGTGCACACCAGCATGCCCAGCTAATTTTTGTATTTTTAATAGAGATGGAGTTTTGCCATGTTGGCCAGGCTAGTCTCAAACTGCTGACTGCAAGTAATCCGCCAGCCTTGGGCTCCCAAAGTGCTGGGATTATAGGTGTGAGCCACCACACTTCCCCCCACCCCCCACCATCATTCTCTATAGTTTGGGTGGGCCTGACTCTACTTCTGGTTCAAGGGTCTGGCACATAACTTAGGTCTGCCCCATAATCACAACTCATCTTCTGGTGACAGTGACTGGATTAGGGATGAAAGTGGGACCAATCAGAGTGAATCCAGAGGCTTTTGTGGAAGAGAAGCTCTCTTTGCTTGGGTTGGCTGGGAGGGCTGGGTAAGGGCTAGCACTGTGCAACCATTGTGCAGTCACAAGGGGAGAAGCATAAGTGTAAGAAATAAGCTTCCTGGTGACATCATTTAAGTCCCTGGACCCCACTACACCGGATCTCTCTGTTTTCCAATTACATCTTTCTTCTTTTCATTTCTCTGCCAGTTTAGCTTTGGTTTATGTTACTTGTAAACAAGAGTCATAACACAGTACTTTACAGACACCAGAGTTTCCCGTAGGCTTTTGCTGCTTATTTATTTTTATTTTTAAATTTTATTAAAAAATTTTGTTCTTTCTTAAAAAAAAAAAATAGACACAAGGTCTCATTGTGTTGCTCAGGCTGGTGTCGAACTCCTGCACTCAAACAGTCCTGCCTCAGCCTTCCAAAGTGCTAGGATTACAAGTGTAAGCCATGGCACCCAGCCTGCTTATTCAATTTAATCCAACAAACCTATATTAGTACCTTTCTCATGCTAAGTGCTGTGTTGGGTCTTAACAGGTTTAAAAATCAGTTCTATTCTTTGCCCTGAGGGAGGCTGCACTGGAGGGTTTTCCAGTAATGTTGAATTCTTTTTTTTTTTTTTTATAGTCCAGAGGTCTTTTTTTTTTTAACACCTATTATGCCGTGAATTCATAGGGAATAGGTTTCAGCAGCTCAGGCTCCCTCCCATTGGTTCTCACAAAGTGTGCTTCTCTTGGTGAGCAGGCTGGCACTTCAGTTGAACCCAGGTACCTTTCTCTTTGGCTTCTTTCTTTTTCTGATCATTTTCCTTCACACGTTTCAGGAAGTTATCTCGGCTCTTAGAGTGCTTATGTGCTCACTATGCACATTAATTCTCTTGGCAAGAATCTTGCCCTTGTTTGTTTACAACAATGCCAACAGTATGCTGGGCAACACTGTAGACTCTTCCAGCTTTGCCATGGTAACACGTGAGGGGCATTCCTTTTTGAACAGCACCTATTCCCTTGATGTCTACAATATCACCTTTCTTAAAGATTTGTATATAATAACATGGCCAAAGGAACAACTTCATGTTTTCTAAAAGGTCTAGAGAACACATATTGAGTGCCTCTCCTCTTTCCCTTGTTGTTCATCATTTTGGTGAATTACTGGAAGATGGTGGTTCCCGAATTCCTTATATTCATCATGCACCATGTATTTAATGCATGCTTACCATGTATCAGGCATTGTCCTTGGCTCTAGTTATATCAGTGAACAAAGCAGGCAAAAATCCTTGCCCTTATGGAGTTTATCTCTCTCTCTCTCTCTCTCTCACTCTGTGTGTGTGTGTGTGTGTGAAACAATAAATAATAAATGTAATAAATAATCTGATAGGTTACAAAGTGATAGTGCCACAGGGGAAAAAAATTGAGCAGGACAAGGGTAGTCAACTTGCTCCAAATCCTGGTTCTGACTCTTAGAAGATTCTTCTTTATATGGAAGCCAGACTGCCTTCCTCCTGTTGATTCTGGTTTTGGCTATACAGAACAAATCTTTTAAACCAGAAGTTCTCAATCTGAGGCTCATGGAGTCTTAGGCAATCTACAGGTAGGCTCCATAGGCAGCCACACAAGCGCCTGAACTTTTTTGCAGCTTTGTGAACTGTGGTGTTTCTTCTTAACCAGATTCTCATAGGGCTACATGTTTGTGGACATGTTCTACAGAAATAGGACTTCTGCTCCCTCCAGCATGTGGAGAAACTTTAGGCTTAAAGTATGTGTCACACTGTAGCTAGAGAGAATGCAAAGGAAACACAGGAGACAATAGGGTGTGGAGAAGCCCAGAGCAGACAGGGGCTGCTGAGGTCCCTGGGTTTCAGAAGAGGATCCTGGGAAAGTGTCATGTCCATCATTCCCTACATCAGGACCAATGTCTCACACATATCTGTGAATGAATGAAGGTGGGGTTCAGAATGACATTTCTTATTTCCTTGATTCTAAGACACACTTTTGTGCTTCCTATTTCTTTTTTTAGAGATGGAGTCTTGCTCTGTTGACCTCTGGTGCATTGGTGCCACCTAGGCTCACTGCAACCTCCACCTCCTGAGTTCAAGTAATTTTTCTGCCTCAGTCTCCCATGTAGCTGGGACTACAGCGCACTACCATGCCCGGCTAATTTTTGTATTTTTAGTAGAGATGGGGTTTTACCATGTTGGCCAGGGTGGTCTTGATTTCTTGACCTTGTGATTCACCTGCCTTGGCCTCCCAAAGTGCTGGGATTACAGGTGCGAGCCATGGTACCTGGCCTTTTTTTTTGAGATGGAGTCTAGCTCTGTATCCCAGCTGGAGTGTAGTGGTGTGATTTCGGCTCGCTGCAAACTCCGCCTCCCGGGTTCAAGTGGTTCTCTTGCTTCAGCCTTCTGAGTAGCTGGGATTACAGGTGCCTGCCACCACGTATTTTTAGTAGAGACAGGGTTTCACTGTGTTGGCCAAGCTGGTCTCAAACTCCTGACCTCGTGATCCACCCGCCTTGGCCTTCCAAAGTGCTGGGATTACAAGCGTGAAACACTGCGTCCGGCCTGTGCTTCACATTTCTAAAATCAGTTTACTTCTTACCACATTAAGTGCACTCATTATTATGATGCTTTTTCATCTTTCCAAAACAGTTATTAAATTAATGGCACTTCCTTTATTTAGGAGGAATGATGATGATGATGATGATGATAAGAAAGAGGAGGAAGAGAAGAAGGAGGAGTAGAGAAACCCACTTCTCTTGGGTAGAAAACCAGGTGACCTGTGCAAGAGACCTCCCTTTACTGTGCCCAAGGATGAGCTGGCCACCCATCGGTGCTCAGGACCACACCCACAGAGGTACCTGGGCTGCTCCGAATGGCCTCCTTCAGTTCCCTCTTCTCCTGTCTCAGTGCCATCAGCTCTGTCCGAATCGTCTCTTTCTCTTTCTCCAGCTTCTCTTTTTCTAACAAATACCTCCGGGCATCCTCCTCTGCTCGGTTCTTGCCATACTTGTATTGATTGGCACCTGCAGAGATGTAGGGAAGGGAAAGGCCCTCAGTTCTGACCTCTGGCAAAAGTACTTGGGTGGTGTCAGCTTCTCAGCCCCAACTGCTTCATCAATAAAATGGAAATATTTAGATCTAGTCCCTTAGATATATTTAGTGTGAATCCTCTAAGGAAAGAAGAAGCAAAAGGGAGGCTGTAGAGCATAGGGAGTAGGATCAAGGGCCTTGGAACCAGACAGTCTGAGATGTGGGCATTTTTGCCCTTCCAGGTTGTGTGACATTAGGCAAAAGTGACTGGTAGTGTTTTTCTGTGTGTTTCTCCCTTGACCTTAGTTTGCTTATTTGTGTATAAGGATATGGATACAATTTACCTCATAGAGTTGTGGTAAGGATTAAATGCGATGATTAATGAAAAGCACTTAGTGTAGTACCTGGCAAATGATAAGTACTTAGTAAGGGTTAGATAATAATGATAATATTATTAAAAAACAAATTTGTGATGCATAACACAGTTGGATTGGGTTTTAAAAGAGCATGTTTTATAGTCAGTTTTCAGATATCTATAAGACGAGATTGTTCTGTATAACTCAGATCTCCAGAGATTTATACTTTGGTCTACAGTCAGGCATTGTCCATTGTATTGCTGGGGAAAGGGTTGGGGGAGGGAGGGACCTGGCAGTCTACTGAAGGTTCAACACTATGGTGGACAATAAAAACAAATAATTATGGCAAAACTGTATTATTTGCTATACACTACGCACTATATGCTAGCCATTTACTTGCATTCCCATTTAGTCATCACAAAACTTATTTTATTTATTTATTTTTTTGAGATGGAATCTCGCTCTGACCAGGCTGGAGTGCAGTGGTATGACCTTGGCTTACTGCAACCTCTGCCTCCAGGGTTCAAGCAATTCTCCTGCCTCAGCCTCCCGAGTAGAGTATCTGGGACTACAGGTGTGCACCACCATGCCCAGCTAATTTTTGTATTTTTAGTAGAGATGGGGTTTCGCATGTTGGCCAAGTTGGTCTTGAACTCCTGACCTCAAGTGATCTGCCTACGTCAGCCTCCCAAAGTGTTGGGATTACAGGTATGAGCCACTGCACCCAGCCCACAAAACTTATTATAATTAGTTCTTTTTTATTGTTGAGGAAATTGAGGCACACAGAGGTTAGGTCTCACTGCTAATGGTGGCAGAGCTGAGGTTAAACCCATGTCTCCACGTCTCTCTGACTCCACAGTCCATGCTGTGCAATACTGTTCTAGCTGGGCCAAGGCCATAGTGCAACCTCTTAGGGAAAGTTTTACTTTTTTTTTTTTTTTTTTTTTTTTGTGCCATACAGAGCCACACACAGCTCTATGTAAGTTGGTGCAGAATGATTCCTTCAGTTTGTGGATAACTGGGGGTCTTGTCTACCCAGGTGTACTGGGGTTGCAGTGGTCACCCAGTGACCTATGCAGAAATCAGTTCCTGACACAACTACCTTGCAGTTCAAGCCTGATCATAAATACAGCATGGAGGACCTTCTGACTTCCATTGTTACTGATGAGAAGTCAGCTGTTAATGTTACTGGGGTTCTTTTATACATGACTTGATTTTCTCTTCTGCCTTCTAGATTTTCTCCTTGATGTGTCTTTTGTAGATCTCCTTACCTTTATCCTACTTGGACTTCACTGAGCTTTGTGGATGTACAGATTAATGTTTTTCAATAAATTTGGCAAGTTTCAGCCATTATTTGAATATTTTTAATGCTCATCTCTCTCTCTTCTCTCCTTCTAGTACTCCCTATACATGTATGTTTGTTCACTTAACTGTGCTCCACAGTGCTCTGAGGTGCTGTCATTTTTCTTCATTTTTTTTTCCTCTCTGTTCTTTCGTTTGCATAATCTCTGTTTTTCTATTATCAAGTTCACTGATTCTTTCTTCTCCAGGTCAAATTTACTATTGTGCCCCCTGAGTGAGTTTTTTGTTTCAGTTATTGTACTTTTCAGCCTCATGATTTTCATTTGGTTCTTCTTTTTACAATTTCTATCTCTTTATTGGTAGCCTCTATCAATACATTATCAATAATATATTTCATAGAACTATACTGTATAGTATAATATAATATAGGATAGCATATAGTTATATTCCATATAACTACAGTATAATTCTATATACCTATACTATAGTGTATAGTATAGTGTAGTATAGTACTCAGTGTAGTCTATTTCTTTCTGCAGTATGAAGCCAATTTCTCTGGAACAACAAGAAATACATTTCTATTGTTTATATGTTATCTAGTTTATGGGATCTTGTTATAGCGGGAGAAATGGGCTATTGTCAATATAATATATTGATAGAGACTACCAATAATATAGGCTATCTGTTAATACACTGTCATCTTCCTGTAATAACTGTACTACACAGTACTACACTATAATAACTATCTGTTAATACACTGTCGTCTTCCATTCCTTTTATTTCTTTAAGCATGGTTTCCTTAAGTTCTTTAAATATGTTTATAACGGCTGCTTTAAAATCTTTGTTAAATTCTACATTTGGGCCCTCTTTGGGGTAGTTTCTGTTGCTTGCTTTTTTTTTCCTTCTGTATGGGTTACATTTTCCTGCTTCTTTGCATGTCTCATAATTTTTTGTTGAAAACTGGTCATTTTAGAGACTATCTTGTAGTATCTTCTGATACACATCCCCCCAATCAGGTTGTTGGGTTGTTATTTTCTTATTTGTTTAGTGACTTGTCTGAACTATTTTAGTGTAGTCTATTTCCTCTTGCAGTATGAAGCCACTGATGTTGCTCCTCAGAGGCTACGGCCTTGGCATGTGTACAGTCACTCTGGGATGACAATGTATTAGCAGGGATTTCTCTGACTCTTTCCATAATTTCCTGTTAAGCAGTCTGCCTCTGTTGCTATTAGACCCAGCTGTTAGGCTCTACTAATTGTCAGGTGTTTGCTCTATTGTTTTTGACAATGCATCAATTACTCCACAGTCTGATCCAATGAAATTCAGCCCCTTTATAGGGGAGTTTTAGAGATTTAAATCTTTGAGATTTGTTCTAATCCCAGGAGGGCTCTTTTTATTAAAAAACATTAAAAAAAAAATTTTTTTTTGAGACAGGATCTCACTCTGTCACCCAGGCTGGAGTGCAGTGGCATGATCGTGGCTCACTGCAACTTCTGCCTCTTGGGTTCAAGTGATTGTTGTGCCTCAGCCTCCTAAGTAGCTGGTATTACAGGTGCCTGCCACCATGCCTGGCCAATTTTTGTATTTTAAATAGAGACAGAGTTTTCCCATGTTGGCTAGGCTGGTGTTGAATTCCTGGCCTGAAGTGATCAATCTGCCTCAGCCTTCCAAAGTGTTGGGATTACAGGCGTGAGCCATCATGCCTGGCTAAGGGCATTTTTTAGCTCTTTCTGTGGTGCTCTCTGATAAACTAGCTGCCCTATGGTTTAGTTTTTTGTTCTCATGGAGCTACCAGCCTCATCCTATTTACCACCAAATCTCCATTGTTTTTGAGAGCACCCTTTGGTTTAAACTTTCCCACACTCTGTTCCAACTAAAGTCAGTTCTTTTGAGGAAGAGCTCTGGAGTTCTCTGTTCTTAGGGCCTGCCTTTCCCTACTGGCCAAAATCTCTAAGTCACTGCTCTGGATCCAGGGGTGGGAACAGTGGCCTGTGCTGTAGTTTGAATGTTTTTCCCCTCCAAAACTCATGTTGAAATTTAACTGCAATTGTAACAGTATGAAAAGGTAGGACTTTGAGAGGTGATTTAGGTCATGAGGGCTTTGCCTTCATGGGTGGTATTAACCCCCTTTTGCCTCTTTGCCCTTCCGTTTTCTGCCAGGTGATGATCCAGCAAGAAGGCCCTTGCTAGATGTCAATACCTTGATCTTGGGTTTTCCAGTCTCCAGACTGGGAGCTAGTAATTTCCATTCATTATAAATTACCCAGTCTCTGGTATTCTGTTATAGCAGCATAAAACAGATTAAGACAGCCTGTTTCTCTTGCAGTGACATTCCTGGTATGAGCAGGGTACTGGGTGGGGGCAGTAACCTCTGGTCTTCTCTGCTTGCCTCTCCCAGCATGGAACCTCTGGCCTATAAGTAAGCTAGGATGAGGGCAATCATGGCCCCAGTATTCTTGGCTTACCCTATCTGGGGCAAAGCCTTTGCTCTATACTCTGGGTAGAGGAAGGGAACTTCCTACCTGTTGGCTGCAATCACCTGAAATTTATCCTCTGCAGCATGGAGCTGAGTATGAGAAGAAATACTGGTAGCCTGCCCTTTCTGGGGAGATACTATAGCTCTTGACTGGCAGCTGCAGGAAGAGGGAGCCCTGTTTTCTTGTTCAGACCTGCCTGGAGTGGAGATTATTTCAAACTGAGTTGAGGAGTAAAGGGGTAGGTTGTGGCTCAAATGCTACAAACTCTCACTGTTCTTACTGAGATTTAGCAAATTTTCTAGAATAAATGTTTCTTCATTTGCTCTTAGGAAAATTTCCAAACTTTAGATAATTGTTTCATAAATTTCACCAGCTACAACTGTTTTACTAGGGAGTGGGTCTATGCAGCTTCTCACATCACCATTTTTCTCAGCAATCTACTTGATCTCCATGATTCTTGCTTCTTGATATTCATGCCCTTTTGTAGTCCCCTCCCACACTAAACAATGCTGACCTGTGCAACCATTAGGACACTGCAGAATTAGGACGTTGCAGAGTGTAACTTCTAACCGTAGGTCATAAAAGACCTTGCAGCATCAGTCTTGCTGTTCCCTCTTGGGTTGCTTTCTCTGGGGGAAGCCAGCTGTCACATAACAAGGACAAGCAACTCTATGAAGAGATTCCCATGGCAAAGAACCGAGGCCTCCTTCCAACAACCAGCACAAACTTGCTAGGCATTCAGTGAGCCATCTCAGAAGTGGATCCTTCAGTCGGTCAAGCCTTTAGATGACTTCAGATGACCAGCCAACATATTGAGATCTCATGAGACCCCAAGCCAGAACTACCTATCCAAGCCATTTGGGATTCCTGCCCCACAGAAACCATGTGACATAACACATGTTCATCATTTAGAAGAGCTAAATTTTGGGTAATTTATTATGTAGCAATAGGCAATTAATACATGATCATGGACAAGATTCTTTGGCTGTAGACTAGATGTTTACATCCCCCAAAATTCATATGTTGAAACCTAATCCTGTATTGATAGCACTTGGATGTGGGGCCTCTGGTAGGTGATTAGGCCATGAGGGTAGAGCTCTCATGGGTGGGACGAGTGCCCTTAGGAAAGAGACCCCAGGGAGCAAAAACATGGCCATCACCAGGAAACAGGCCCTCACCAGACACCAGATCTGCTGCCACCTTGATCTTAGACTTCCCAGCCTCCAGAACAATGAGAAATACATTTCTGTTGTTTATAAGTTACCCAGCTTATGGAATTTTGTAATAGCAGGAGGAATGGATTAATATATCTTTCCTTTCATTTTCTTCAGTTTCTTCATCTAAAAAACAACCTTGTTGGAATTCATCAGTAGTTTTTCACTGTAGTTTCCCAGTGATGGCTAACAGGAAAAGTGGAGGCCCAGTGGGCCTCAATCAGAGTAGCTCCACTTTTATTTTTCTTTTATAAACTGGGCTTTCATATAAGATTTGATTTGAAGAAAGGGTCTGCTTTTTTATGTGTGTGTGTTAGTTTTTTGTTGTTGTCATTGACATTGAGTGATTTCTTTAATCTTACATGCTTTTTTTTCAGTGTAGATTTCCATTTTAAAATGGTCGTTTCACAAGGCCCTGTATTTCCAGTAACTCTGACAGTAGAGTGCAAAGTTACACAACAACCTTCTGATTGCTCAGAGAGGAAACTCAGGCCCGGAGAGGGGAAAGAACTTTTCCCAAAGTTGCACAGTAATTCAGTGGTCAAGGGAGGAATGAGGAGTGGAATACACATTTCCTGATCCCCAGAAGGGATGATCTATACAAATGAAATGGAGCTATAATATAGAAAAGTATTTTTAAAAATAGGTATTAACAAAGTAAGTTTTCAAAAAGCACAGAACAGGACTTGACTCTGTTGAGATGCAGGGGGAAGAAATGTAAAGGAACAAAGAAAAAGCTCTTGGAACATGCTGTCCCACAGGAAGCTGGCTTGTTCATGAAGATAAATCACAGGAGCACAGATTACTGTTGGAAGTAAAACAGAATTTACAACAGAGTTGCCTGGCATACTTAGTCATTATGGTGCAGTGTGGCAATCAGGCAATTCACTGAGCCCCTGTGGGGTGCTAGCAGAGCTAGGGTGGGATACCATGGCAAGCTCTGGCTTTCATGGCAGCTGGCTCCAGGGTGTTTGGATGGATTCAGTTCTCTCTCATTACCCCAGATCAGAAATCACAAATTGTTAGCCTCTGAAACAGATACAACTTGTCAACAATCTCTCTCTCTCTCCTTTCTATTTGGCCTCATTCAGTGCTAAATTAAAAAAAAATAGTTGCTGATATTAAAAAATAAGTAAATTTCACCTAAAGTCTAGATTTCTGGCCTGTTTTAAGTAATTGGCAAATGTGGTGTTAGGGGCCTGGTACTGCTGCATGGGGATTGTCTTCTGGAGCTGTGCAACAGCCTCCCCTATAGTTGGGACCTGAGCACTCCAGTTTCCTACAGTTCCCCCCACACCGCAACTCCCTGTTGGCCTCATTTTCCCTCTGAGGCCACCTGCCGGCTGCCCTTTATCATTGTGCTTGCGATGTGATTTTTTCTTAGGGTAGCTATTTTCTTGCATTTATTTACCCACCAGAGGAACTGATTTTGATATCCCTCCTATAGACTGGTTCCTTCCCTTCCCACCTAGTCAGCAGGGAGGCTCACACACAACTCACTGGAGGCGTGGCGTTTGACTTTGACCTGTGGGTCCACGCGATGGGACTTCTCACTGCAGGAGGAGGCGTGGCGCTTCACCTGGGCCCCTGTGGGGCGCTCAGGCTCCTCATCCTGGTGGGAGATAGAGAAAGACAGTCAAGTGCAGGCAGGCACAGACTCATCACTGCAGAGTATACTGTGGTCTTTGCTCAGCATGGGCTCTTCTTGCTCTGAGATCTTGTCCTTACAGTTTTAGACTTGTGCAGCACTCAAAAATCATAAAGCAGTTTTTCTAGCAGTATATCATTTGAACCTCATACTTTTCTGCTGGGGAGCAGCAGAAGGCAACCCTAAACTATAGTATCTGCTGAGAGGAAAATTAAAAAGTCTCAAAAGACTGTGGGTGGCTATAATTGCTTTATCATAGATATTTTTGTCTTTAGAACATTTGGAAGTATCCTGATTTTCTGAATTGCTAACAGTCTTTCCTCAAGAAGAAAAGTCTTGGATGAGATCAGCCAGTGACAGGAGTGACATAATTTAATAGATCAACTATACATTTGAGCATGAAGTATGTTAAGAACACTAAAAATCCAGTCAAAGCTTAGGAAACCATGAGTTTAAAAATGATAATAAGGTAATAAATAATGATGTTGTCAACAACAGTACTATTTACTCCTCTGTATAAGACTTTCCAATGTCTAGGCACTATGCTCATTTTTTCTTTTCTTGAGTGCAGTGGTATGATCATGGCAGCCTCAACCTTTTGGACTCAAGTGATCCTCCCACCCCAGCCTCTCAAGTAGCTAGGACAACAGGTGCACAGCACCATGCCCGGCTAATTTTTGTAGAGACAGGGTTTTGCCATGTTGGGCAGTCTGGTTTCAAACTCTTGAGCTTCAGTGATCCACCCACCTCAGCTTCCCTACGTGCTAGGATTACAGGTATGAGTCACTGCACCCAGCCTAAATGTTTGTTTTTTTTGAGACAGAGTCTCACTGTGTTGCCCAGGCTGGAGTTTGGTGGCATGATCTTGGCTCACTGCAACCTCGTCCTCCCGGGTTCAAGTGATCCTCTTGCCTCAGCCTCTTGAGTAGCTGGGACCACAGGCATGCACCACCATGCCTGGCTAATTTTTGTATTTCGTTTTAGTAGAGACAAGCTCAAGGCTGGTCTTGAGCTCCTTGCCTCAAATGATCCTCCCACCTAAGCCTCCCAAAATACTGGGATTATAGGCATGAGTTACTGAATCCAGCCCCCACCTAAACTTTTTTACTTAAAGTATTATTTAATTCTTGCAGCCATCCAAGAAGGTAGGTTTTATCATATCCTTTTGGAGTCAGCAAGTGAGGACCAGAGAAGTGAAACTCAGCCCTAGCCCTGAGACTGGGTCTCCAACCTTTATGTCCTTAAGTGCTCAGCTGTCTTGTTACTAAACTCTTCAACTGAGAAAAACCTCAAGCTGTATCCACAGGTTTATCTCACTCTGAAGAAAGACCATATGAACAGAAGGATGACTGGAGAAATTTCTAGAAAAGGGAGTCCTGGAGGTGAAAACTCAGTGTCATCCAGCACCATCCAAGGCAGAGGCCCTGTCTGCAGACACACGTGTTGTCCTAGGCAGCTTAATTGTCTCTCTCCTGCTAGCTGTAAGACCTGACCCACCCACCAGCATCTGACTAGAATGTGGCTCTCCTCTTGCTTTCTGAGGGAGGAGACAGCACGGGGCATGCTGCCAAGAGCATTCCAGGTCATGTGATGGCTACATAGGACTCACTGTAAATTAATAAGCTATCTCCCTCGTTTAGCAAGCAAAACATGGAGACTGGCCTGGGAGCTGAAGCTCCCAGATTATGAAGGTGACCATCTGAAGGCTTGCGGGTGGCCCCACAGTCAGCATGCGCCCCAGACACCACAGAATCAGTAGGATAAGTTCAAGTTCACAGAGTGGTAAATAGGAGGAGGGCCCCAGCATCTTGCTCAAACTGGAAGTGATACCTCACCTTTCTGTAGTGCTTGACAGTCTACAGAAGCCCTTTCTTTCTCCCAACCTGGGGCTCTTTCCACTGCACCACCCAGCCTCCTGTGCCAGGGATTCCTCATCCTGAGCCATGCTCTATGATAAGAAGGGCTCCCCTTCTAGCTGCTGCTGCTTAAATGAAAAGGATCTCTCTGAGGCAGAAGATAAAGGGAACAGAAAGAGGGAGAGCTAATAAGTGGCCTTTGCCACATTCCTGGGCAGCCCCAAGAAACAGTACCTGCATCTTTTCGTAAGGAACATCATCATAGACTCGGGGCTCAGGCCACTGATTCTGGCAGGATCTTGCATATCTAGAAAATAAAAGGGACAATGACAATGACAATGATGATTTGCAGCTTACAGTACTTTCCTGTCCACACTCTCATTGATTCTGGCAGAAACTTTAAGGCAGGTTGGAAGATTGCAAACGCAAGATGACAGGCAGCATTGTGTCCTGGGCTGTGTTAGGGCGTCATAGGCAGGACCAATGTGATTCTCATTCAACGTGCAAGGCAGGTAATTCATCACCACCATTCTATGAGTCGGAAAACAGAGATCCTAGATGGCAAGCAACCAGTGCAAGCTTCCACAGCTGGTGGTGACAGAGCTGGGACTCGAATCTGGCTCTTCTAGTACCGAATGCCATATACTAGCCACGTGTCCATGATCAAGTGTGTGAAAGCTTAAAGTCCGTGGCATGAGGGCAGAGCTCAGGCCACTTCTTCAAGACTTCTCTACTTTTTCTCCTTCCATTCACAGCTTGCCTCTGACCCTGGGCCACCTCCTTCAGCCAGCTCCCCACACCCGTACTGTAAGAGGAGACACCCATTCCAACTTCCCAAGGAAGCAGAGCTTTCCTTAGCTCCTCCCTTCCCTCCCAGTGCCCAGGGCTGGACTCAGCCTCTGAGTGGGATGGAGACAGGAAAGGTCATGGGCAAGTGTGACCCTTACAGGAAGGAGTTGCGCCCAGCACTGACGATGCTAGTTAAGGTCTCCACGTCTACGTAGTCATAGTGCAGTGCCTCCGGGGTGACTCTGGAGCCCATCTCCACCAGCAGCAGCCCAAGCCAGCGACCCATGTCCTCCGAACAGCTTGCCTGAAGGACAGGAGGCAAAGGTGGAGTTCATTTTCATACAGTCAGGACTTCTGGAGATCTGTTGACTTCAGCCAAACCCAGAAATATTTGTAAGTACTGACTATGTACCTGATACTCAGGGGTCAAAGAGGAATAAGATCATAGTACACATCTAGAAATTCAAGAAGCTTCCTTCTTCCATCCATTCAGGTTTCCACTCAAATATCACCTCCTCAGAGAGGCCCTCCCTGATGACCTCTCTAAGACAGAGGCCTCCCTGTCATCACTTTCCATTCTCAGAGCCTTCCCAACCATTAGGCTTTAAAACCAACATTGGGTGTTCTCTGAATTTAAAAAAAATATTCATTTTTTTTTTAGAAAAGGCCATTTCTTATATAAGTCAATCAATTTTTTCCTTATGTTATAATTGCCAAATAATTAAAGTACTGTGTATTCAAAAATCTCCAAGAAGTTGCCAGTCAACTAAACACAGACTTATGTTAATTCTCATTTAAAGAACATCTTATAAAAGCAAATTAGCACACAAATGCTAAACTTCAATAAATAAAGCACAGTTTTTGTTAGAAAGCTTCATGTATAAAAGAAATAAGAGACTTATCTCAAACTACAAAAAAATAAAAGTGAGTTAGAGAGGCAGTCTTTTTTGAAATTTAAGAACTGAGAGAGACAATGGGTCTTTGGCAGAAAACAAGACCAAGAGGTCAGGTTCTAGGACAAGACCAAGAAACCACTGGCCCTCTGTGGACCCCTGGATAAGGTGCGTGGCTGCCCTGGCCTTAGTTTCCTTATCCGTGATGGGAGGAGGTAGACTTTTGTTTTCCTCTAGTGTTAACATTTTAAATTTTAAATAGCCAAAGGGTTGCTATGTGGAAGAGAGAGTCCACGTATTCTGCATGACCTCAGAGAGGAGGGCTAGTCCATGGGTAAGAAGGAGAATGAATTGGTGAAATGCAATCATACTTCATTCACTCATTTGTTCAACAAATATTACTAGAGCCCATAGTAGTCTAGTGCTGGACATCATGCAGGGTTCTGGAAAAACAAAACTATGCAAAATAGGCCTGGTTATTGCCTCCCTGGAGCGTAAAGATTTCAACTCAGTATGGGGAAAATCTTTCTAAAATTTGAATTGCTCAATGGGAGGGGCAGTGGACTCCTCCTCCACCAGAGGAGGCTACTGCTGGAAGGTCTTAGAGGAGATTCCAAACTGTGAATGGGTTACACCGGACTAGATGCCTTTCAGGCTTGAGATTTTAAGGTGAGGGAGAAGAAACAAACCTTGGTTCTGGGGCTACCAGATTTAGTGAATAAAATACAGAATGTTTGGTTTAATTTGCATAGTAGATGAACAATGAATACTATTTTAGTATTGATAATGTCCCAACCTTGCGTGGGACATACCTATATTATTATGAAAATGTTTCAGGTAATATTCGTGGCTTACCTGAAATTTAAATTAAGTGGGTGTCCTGTATGTTGTCTCATAATCCTACTCGGGTCACCTGACAGGAATGGGGCTTGCTTTCCTTCTCCTTCAGTCCCTGGGCTGTCAGTAGCAAGGGCTCCCTCACACAAACACAACACTCAGGCCCCAGACCAAGCACCACCTGCTTCCCCCACCTCCTCTCACCTCCAAGATGGCTACCTCCTGCCGGTTGCGCAGGATCCTGAAGGCAAACGGGTGTCGGGGCCCAAAGCCCGGGGCCACCTCACAGCCTTGCAGGGCGATGGCGTTCACATGGGTTTGCAGGTCCGTGTGGTCCTTGTGGAAATACAGAGTGTTGCACTTCAGGCGGCACCAGCGTTCCTTCCAGCCCTGGTTCACCAGCACGTTCAGGTAGCCTGGAGGAGACAGTGGTGTGACATTCCCACAGCCTGCCCTGGGACAGCATGGGGATGCAAGGCGGCTGTATGTGTCTGCTGGAAAGAAGGTCTTGGGGTCCTGGTCAGCTCTTTCTCCCCCCCGTGACCGCTGGTGCTTTTCTCTGAGTTTGTTTCTTAGCTGAGAAATACAGACTGTTAATGGCATTCATACATCTCTGCACAGCCTTTGGACTATACCAAGCTTGATGAAAAGGGCAGGAACTACTGCATAGGATATACAAAAGACACAACTCTTGCTTTTCTCACCAAATCAAAACTGTTATTGAAAGATGGAAAATAATGGATGATGCTGACACCCAGTGGCAGTGTGTGGGAACAAAAACGTCTCGCTTACATAATCCTAAAATTGACCAAGGCACAGCTGCTATATAGCTAATGACCCACAGGTTTGGAATTCCCTCATAATGTTTTAGATTTAAATTTGTTTATTTTTGTGATAACAGATTCTGATTCGCTGATTACAAAATATTTCTTTGTAGCCATGTATTTCTTTATGTATTTATTTTTTGAGACTGGGTCTCCCTCTGTCACCCAGGTTGGAATATAGTGTCTCTATCATGGCTCACTGCAGCCTCGACTTCCTGGGCTCAAGTGATCCTCCCACCTCAGCCTTCCAAGAAGCTGGGGTTACAGGAATACACCACCATGCCTGGCTAATTTTTGTATTTTTGGTAGAAACAAGGTTTTATCATGTTACCTGGGCTGGACTCAAACTCCAGGGCTCAAGCGATCCTACATCCTCAGCTTCCCAAAGTGCTGGGATTACAGGGGTGAGCCACTGTGCTTGGCCCTGCCATGTACTTTTGTAATATTTTTTTCAGGGTTAGAATATTACTGCATATCCAAAATATATGATTTTTAAAAACTGGATTCCAGTACATGGAACACTACATTTATGTGAGCAAAATAATGTTTTCCCCTCAAATCACTTTTAATTCACATTGAATGCATTTATAACAAAAAGTACCTAAATATTTTTCTCCAAGAAATTTCCCTATAAGATGGGTTGTAACTTATACACCTGGCACACCCTATGCTGGGAAATAAGATACCCCTGGTCTTGTTATAGTAGAGGAAACTGGGAAACTGAGGCCCAGAGATGGGCAGTGATTTGGGCTAAGGTCACAGGGAGCATAGAAATGCAGTGGTCAGCGGGCTTTTCCTCTCACTGAGTGTCAGGGCCTCTGGGGAGGAAAGTGATGGGAAGGCCTAGAGTGGGGTTTAGCCTCCTGGTAGGCTGGGATTCTCTCCCCGGCCCTGGTGGTGAGGTGGATGAGGTGTGAGGTCTCCTGGCCTCAGCCCCAGAAGCCCGCGCCCACAGGTCCTGAACACCCTTTCTCCCTGTGCCCTGGACCCACCACAGCAGGGAACCTCCTCCTCGGCAGAGGACGTCTGCAGGTCATCGGCCAGTTGCTTCTTCTTGGAGAAGTTGATGATACGGGTGATCTTGCGGCCTGCAGCCCTGCTCATTGAGCCCTTCAGTTCTGCCAGGCTGCTCTTCTTCCCTTTGCCTGTTTGGAAAAGGGGTCAGGGCAGTAGAGGGAGCCCCAGGTCCCACCCACCCTTAGTCTTCCCCATGGCTTTTTCAGCCAGCACACAGGGATGGACCTGCAGCTCCAGGTATGGCAGGCCAGGTCACCTTACCCAGGTATCCAGAGTGGTCAGGACCTGCTCTGCTGCTGTATGCCCATGGGCAAGGCCCCTCCCAGTTCCAGCATTCCCCAGCCTGAGCCCCCAGAGGCTCCTACCGTGATCACAGGCCTCCCGGCGGCCAAGGCTAGAACAGTTATCGCCTATGCCCACGCTGTCAGAATCTGAGGTCTGCTTCTCTTGGGACAGCCTCTGAGGAGGGACACAGACAGTCCCCCATCAGAGGGCACATTCAGAAGTACCCAAATGTCCCTTTATTGGTTCAGTCTTCCTCCAACTTCCCCAGCACATGATAATTAGCTAACAAATGTTTGTCAGCAACAATCCTGTGCCTGATACCACACAGGTATTGGGAAGATAACCATGACTTAGATATAGTTGTGTCTTTGGGCAATTCAGTCTGTTTGGCGAGGGAGGCAATTAATTATAACACTTTGAGATGAATGTCTTTGGAATTTGGACTGTATTTGGCAGGTGACAGGGAGCTGGGAAAATAAGTGGAACACTAATGTAATCCAAATTGGTTTAGGAAGTTACTTCTAGTGGCATTGTGGGGATAGACAAGAGGGGACAAGACTGGAAGCAAAGGAACCACTTAAGAGAGTGTCATCTGTATGTTTATTGCGGCACTGTTTACAATAGTAAAGACTTGGAAGCAACTCAAATGCCCATCAGTGATAGACTGGATAAAGAAAATGTGGCATATACACACCATGGAATACTATGCAGCCATAAAAAGGATGAGTTCATGTCCTTTGCAGGGACATGAATAAAGCTGGAAACCATCATTCTCAACAAACTGACACAAGAACAGAAAACCAAACACTGCATGTTCTCACTCATAAGTGGGTGTTGAACAATGAGAGCATATGGACACAGGGAGGGGAACATCACACACTGGGGACTGTTGGGGGGTAAGGGGGCTAGGGGAGGCATGGCAGGGGGTGGGGGAATTGGGGAGGGCTAACATTAGGAGAAATACCTCATGTAGATGACAGGGGGATGGATGCAGCAAACCACCATGGCACGTGTACATCTATGTAATAATCCTGCATGATCTGCACTTGTACCCCAGAACTTAAAGTATAATAATAATAATAATAATAAAAGAGAGTGTCATCCTTGTCATGATGAGACTCAACAAGATCATGAACCAAGTGACAGTGAGGATGGAGAAAAAGAGATGAACTGGCAGACATTTTCAAAACTGTGTTGGCAGGACCTGACTGTTGTAAAAATGTCTGCCAGCTCATATGGAGTCCATTGTGATCCTAACTTGGAGGAGAGGATGGGAAGGGAACACATACCCACACACCCACACATGACATGCCAACAATTTCACTGCCTGCCCAAATTAGTTTTACTCATTACACCAACTCTAGACCATTTATCAATTCATTCATACAAGTTCCCATGTATACTAGGTACCATGGGATGTAGAGCGGAATCAGTGATGACTCTTTTACCACTTATTAGCTGTGGAAATGTGGGAAAGTCCTTCTGTCCCCTCAAGGCTGGGTTTTCTCACTTGAATTCCACCCACTTCAGAGGGCTGCTGTGAGCCAGCCCAAGTGAAGGCCCACTGACTGTATCATTTCCAACACGTGTGTGGTGTGCTGCCATCTTTCTTCAAGAAGCTAAACTGTGCCAGCCACACTTGGACCAGAATTAAATGACATCCACCCTCTTAAGAAGGTAGAATTACAGAGCTCTGAGGTCCCAAAGCCTTTCCTGCCAAGATCCTCTCAAATCAGGTTCAGGGCTGCATCACCATAAGCATAGCACCAGGGGAACAGGGAGGACAGGAGAGCATGTACTTCTCTCAATTTCCAAAGGGCTTCAAACATGACACTTGTCAGAAAGGGGACAGAAGCATCAAGTATAAAGAATCACCTCTTCAGATTGTGAAACAGAAGTTATGGCTCCATGTGTTCTGCAACGGTGTAGAGATGGCAAGTTTTTCACCAAGATAGATAGCAAATACAAAGAAGTCCTGGGAGCCCTTTGGAATTAACTCGATGATGACGCTGCAATCACATGATTCCATGGAGAAACAGACCCACCAGTATCACATCCTCACCCTCACTCTCCACCCAAAATAACACCCTGAACATTCTAGTTACCCTCCCCGTGGACACTCAAGCCACAGGAAAGCTTAACTCTACAAGCTTGCCTCTTCTTCCTCTCTACACATCCTGCAGACTGCACCACAGCATGCACTGGCAAGTGTGTGCACACACACACATGCACACTGACACTGTCAACGCTGCTTTCCCTCTGGCCTCACTAATGGCAAAGGCTAAATGAGGATACGGTTGAGCTTCTCCTCCTGCAGCCTGGGCACATGAATACCCATCTTCCAATTCTGGTGACTCTGCCTGATCCCGTACTTTTGCTTCTGTTTCCTCCCCTCGGCCCACCTCTGCCTCAGTGAAATCTTGCCTGTGCTTCAAGACTCAACGTAGGTGCCCATCTTCCCTCACCCTTGTCATCCCTACAGCCAGCGTGAGCCCCCATTCCACTCATTGTAGCTTTCTGGGATACTCTAATAGGCTGGTGGACTCTCCTTTCTCTCTGAACTCAACCATACTGGCTGTTTTCAGTTCCAGGCTTCTTCCTGCTCCTGCACCGTTTCCCTCTGCTTACAATGCCTTTTCCCTCCTCTTCCCTGCTAATTTTTCATCTTCATCTGAAATGTCACTTCCTCAGAGGAGCCTTCCTGGAGCTCTGAGGCAGGAGCAGGGCCCCTGACACACACTCTCAGGGTACCTGGTACTTTTCCCTCCTAGCACTCACACAGCTTGCCATTTATAAGTCTGTGTGACTATTTGATTCATGTCTGCTTCCTATTGGGCTGGAAGGGCTGTGAGGGCAGGGCTTGCATCTGTTTGTGTTTAGGCTGCATCTCAGTGGCTAGCACAGTTCCTGGAGTGCTCCAGATACTCAACGAGTACCTGTCAATCAGGTGCTCAGGATCCTGGCCTTGAGAGGTACTGTGGCATGGTCATCAAGAGCTAGAGTGTCCGGGTTCAAATCCTGGCTATGTTTCTGATTGACTGTGTGACCTTGGGCAAATCTCTGTCTCAGCTTTCTCCTCTGAAAAGGTAACTACCCAGAGAGTTGGAAATACCTGAGTTAATACACGTAAAGCATTTAGTACACTGCAGTGCATGCAGTCACAATCTATAAATACTAGCCTTGATTATATTATGTAAGGCCTGTGTCGGTGGGTCTTAAGCCTTCGCCTCTACTGTCATGCCCATTAAGGGGAGGACTTGCATCCAAGGCCCTTTGTTACCCACAATACCTGGCAATGTGCAGATACTGGGACATATTTGCCAACAGCCTGACCAACTGGCTAATGCCTGCTTCTCTCATTTTCCAAACATGAGAAGGCACACTCCTTCTCTTTCTTTCTTCTCTCTCGCTCTCGCTCTCTCTTTCTTTTTTCTGAGACAGGGTTTCATTCTGTTGCCCAGGATGGAGTGCAGTGGTGCAATCATGGCTCACTGCAGCCACCACCTGCCAGGCTCACGCAATCCTCCTGCGTTAGCCTCCTGAGTAGTTGGGACTACAGGCACATGCCACCCCATCTGGATAATTGTTTTGTAATTTTTTTGTTTTAGAGACGAGGTCTCACTGTGTTGTCCAGGCTGGTCTTGAACTCCTGGGCTCAAGTGATATGCCCGCCTTGGCCTCCCAAAGTGCCGGGATTATACACCCTCCTTTTCTAATTGACAGATTTCAACTTATTTGTCATGGCACAATTGAAATGTGACCTCTGGGATACTCTAATATCCTGGCAGGGTGAGTCACTTCTTCTCTGGCTTGTACTGCACCTTGGGCATGGGCACTCATTTGTTCATGGATTCAGGAGACATTTATTAAGTACCTACGGTTATGCCAGCTCTGTGCTGGGCACCTACAGTTTGGCAGGTGCCTGGCTTTCCCCCCAGCCAGTGAGTTCCCCTGGGATTGAGCCCGTGTTAAGTGGCCACTGCCTGGCCCCGGGAAGACCTAGTGGAGACAGATGTACCTTGTCCAGGTCCAGCTTGCACAGGAGGACAGGGGATCTGGGGACCTCCACTGCTTCAGCTCCCCCAACTGGCTTGCTCACCTCTCGGATGACCTGTGAAGAGGACACACAGCTGTGAACAGATGGGCAGGGAAGCTGTGGATACAAAGGAAGAATGGGGTTTATGTGGTGAAGGCCATAGAACAGAGGGTCAGGGCCACTGTGGGGAAGAGATGGGCTGACACAACCCCTGCACGTGTGTGGGGCACATCAGGGTTTGTAAAGGCTTTCTCCCATATCTATCCCCTGGCTTGAAAAGATACAAGGCTAGGGACCAAGAGGTTTATTGCTACTTAGTCGTGTGGTCTTGGAAGAGCTACTTCCCTGCTCTGGGCCTTAGTGTCCACATCTGTAACATGGGAATGATACTAGTCCTCTGATTTCCTCCTTGGGTTACCTGAAGACAGTGGGACCATGGATGTGAAGAGTGATGGGAGCCATAACGCCTCACAAGGGTGAGGGACCATGTGTACCTTTATAGCAACCTATAGGGCGGCTGGAGTTATCACCTCCATCTCCTAAAGGCATCCACTCGCTCGACAAAGCCACACAGCAATAAGCATGAGATCAGGAAATAATCACAGCCACCATTTGTTGCTCACCTATCTGGTGGCTTTTTGTGGATTATCTTGTTTTATCCCCTAGCAGCCTTGTGAGCTCCGAGTTACAGCTTAGGATGATGAGCCTTGTAGAGGGGAAGCCACCTGTTAGGGGGCAGCAGAGCCAGGAACTAAATGCAGGCAGTATGGCTGCCCACTGTTAACCTCTAGGCTAACGGCCACCCAGGATCGATGTCAAGGCAGGTCTCTTTTAACTCCAGTCTAGGGCTCCGTGTGCCGACCCAAACAGCCCCTGTAGTGTACAGGCTCCCCCAGCAGGCAGGTTCTCTCCCTTCCTTCCCTCCTGAGACAAAGGGGTAATAAGAAACACCAAATGTTCCATCAGAAGGGCCGGTTATCACAGGAAGGAAGGGGCTGGGTGGGGAGGGAGGTGTTTGGTTTCATTGTTCCAGCAGGAAGATCAGAGGAAGAGAGGAGGTGTCAGAGTGAAGTAGAGGCAGTGCAGGGATAAGGGAATGTGGGTAGGCATCGCCGTCATCTGACAGTAATTACTGACAGTTACTACACACTCACTGCCTGGCAAGCACTATGCCAAGTGCTCTCCAGAATCCTTCCAAGGACCATTTCACAGATGAAAAAAACAGGCACAGAGAGGCAAAGTCATTTGCAGAAGGTCACACAATCAGTAAGTGCCACTTAGGCTTGGGGCTTGAACTCAAGTGTGGCTGCCACAAAGTCCCTCCTCCCATGTCATCACTATGGCATCCTGCCTATGGCCTTTGGAGTAGATTTACTTCTTAGCTTCAAATCCTCGCTCCAAGCACTTTGGTTGTGTGACCTTTGGCAAATCACATAAGTTCTCAAAGCTGTGTCTTAGTTTCCTCATCTGTGAAATGGGAACAATAATATTTTGTCCCATTTTGAAGCATAAACGAGGTCATGCACGTAAAGTTCTTGGCACAATGCATGGCACAAAGTAAGTGCTCATCACGTGGTAACTTTCATTGTTCCATGTAACTGCAGAGGCAGAAGCTGGCCCATGGGTGGTCATTACAAGATGTACATTTCAGGCAAGGAAGGATTTCTCTTTGTTGTTGTTTTAAGAATTCGCTTGTCTAATGATGCAATCAGCTTCTTTTGTAGATACTAAGTTCCCAGTTCCACAAGTTCCCCGTTCCCAGTTCTACACAAGTGCAGGCTGAACAAGCCCACAGTAAGGATTTGGAAAGGGAATTCAAATAACTAAAAGGAACACAGGTCTCCGGCATGAAGTTTGCCTCTTGGAGATTTCCGAGGCCCATTTCCACACATGAGCCCTATCCACGCACACGGCACTTGGGCTCAGGTACTGAGCAAGAGTTCTTCCAGGGACAGGAGCCAGCTCTACTGAGGGCTGGCTTGGGTAAGAGAGAAAGGGTGGGAAGGCGGGAAGGTTGAGTGCAGGCCACACACCTTTAGCCACTCCTCGGCCTGCTCTCGGCTCTGCAGTGCCAGCACCAAGACCTCGGTAGCCCCCTGGGTGAAACGCAGCTCATGCCTCTTATGCCGGCTGTCCTTGGGCACGTAGATGACGCTGCAGGCATCCAGAGCCAACCTTAGATGTGGCTGCCGGTCCTTGGAGCTTTTGTAACACTGGACAGGGAGAGAAAGGCATCAGGATCTTCTGAAGTAGAGGGTAGAGGAGGGAGACATCCTCACACAAAGGCTCTGAGGAAGCCCGACCTCCCTTTAGAGACCTCCAACACCCAGCTGGGCCATGGGTACTGTGTGAGGACAGCTGAAGGGTCCAGGCCATTCATCCTGGAAGAGAAGCTTGGTGGGAAGAGGCATCTTTGGGTAATCTTCAGTCACAACTACCTATTTGGGAAGAGGCAGACTGTAGCACAATCCTAGGAAGACCAGGCTAGCCTAAAGAACTAGAGAAGAAATGGGCTGGCTTGGGAGGAAGCCAGTTAAAAATCTACCTGGCAGGAACTTGGGAGACAGAATTCTAGCAGAGATGGAGGATTGGCCTTGGGAAGTCAATAGTTTATGAATAATGATTCTTACTTCCCCATTTTTTTGTAATGAGGCCAGCATTACCTTCATACCAGAACCTGTTATGAAAAAAGAAAATTATAGGCTAATTTCTCTCATAACACACTTGCAAAAGCCCTGAACAAAATACTAGCAAATGGATTCCAGATGTATATGAAAAGCAGCAACATCAAGGAACAGTTTTGTCTACAAACAACCCACAGCAAACGTCATTCTTAATTGTAAATTATTGTTATTATTATTTTTAGAGACTGGGTCTTGCTTTATCACCCAGGCTGGGGTGCAGTGGTGTGATCACAGCTCACTGCAGCCTCAAACTCCTGGGCTCGAGCAATCTTCCTGCCTCAGACTCCTGAGTAGCTGGGACTATAGGTGGATACCACCATGTCTTGCTAACTAAAAAATTTTTTTTGTAGAGATGGAGTCTTGCTTTGTTGCCCAGGCTAGTTTTGAACTCCTAGCTTCAAGTGATCCTCCTGCCTCAGCCTCCCAAAGTGCTGGGATTACAGGCATGAGCCACCATAACCAGCCTTAATAGTAACTTCCCTTTTGAACTCTAGACTGAGACAAGGATGTCTGCTCTCCCACTTGTTTGCATTGTGCTGGAGGTCCTAGCCACTGTAATATGTCGAGAAGAATACAGAAGTCGTAGGAATGGAAAGAGGTTTGTCATGTCTCTTGCACTAGTGCTGTCCTGGAGTGAGAAAAGGCCATGTTTGAGAAGCATATGTGTTGAGCAAGGCTTGGGGAGAGGAGTTACTCTCTTTCTGAAATTATGTTCATTTTCTTACTTTGCAATTAAAGGAGCTTTTCCTTGTATGACATGATAAGCTGAGACATGGTAAATATAAAAAACCCTTTTTTTAAAAAAGCAAGTAATAGAACGATGAGTGTTGTAGGGGATTCCTTTTACAAAAGACAGATGTATGGAAATGAGGGTGGAAATGTGTACACTTAATAGTGGTCATCTCTTGGTCAATGACATTATTGACCTTTGGTCAGTAGTTTTTTTAATCACTTTTCATTTGTTTTTCTGTAGTTTTATACATAAGCACATTTACTTGCATAATGAAAAACAACACAGATTTAATAATAATTTTTTTTTGACAAAACAAAAACATGGTAAAGCCTATATCAGGTCTTTTTTTGTTTTTGAGACAGAGTCTCATTCTGTTGCCCAGGCTGGAGTGTAGTAGCACCATCTCGGCTCATGCAACCTTGGCCTTCCCGGTTCAAAAGATTCTCCTGCCTCAGCCTCCCAAGTAGCTGTGACTATAGGTGCGCACTACCATGCCCGGCTAATTTTTTGTATTTTTAGTAGAGATGGGGTTTCACCATGTTGCCCAGGCTGGTCTCCAACTTTTGACCTCAAATCATCCACCTGCTTTGGCCTCCAAAAGTGTTGGGATTACAGGCATGTGCTACTGTGCCCAGCCCAGGTCTTTATTTAAATTGGAGAGACAGAGGGAGGAGATAGAGAGGGAGGGAGACAGAGAGAGAGAGAGAGAGAGAGAGAGAGAGAGAGAGAGAGGGAGGGAGACAGAGAGAGAGAGAGAGAGAGAGAGAGAGAGACTGTGTGTTTAAATTCTGCTCCAGTGGGGAAAGTCCCGTTCTCTTAGGAGCATGGCGGCTTTGAGCTTCTGTACACAAAGTCCAGCCTGTCATGCCCAAGGCAGACACATCCACATGTATATAGAGACCTATCCGTATGCAAGTCCATGTGAAGCCAAGAGGCACACGGTTGCTGCTGACCACTCACCAGGAGCTGGTCCTCCCTGATGACCGTCAGTTGCTTGGCCCACTGCCCAAAACGCTTTTTCCGCAGCAGGAAGGCACATATCCTGCATTCCTTCACCAGGTGCATGGAGGCCTCCTCTGAGGGCCACTGGTGTCGGGGCTGTGGGCTCTTCCCTTCCTCCTCCTCTTCATCGTAGGACTCATAGGAGCTGCTCATTGCGTCAGAGTCATTGTCTACAGGCATCATGGGAAAGTTTTGTCACCGTACCATCCTGGGGAAGCACTTTCTCACCCCTCTGAAGCCATCCCTGTGCTGGGACCTGGGGCCAGGAAGGTGTGGCCATAAGGCATGACACTGATAACTAAGACCCCTACTTTTTTTTTTTTTTAGATGGAGTCTTGCTCTGTCACCAGGCTGGAGTGCAGTGGTGTGATCTTGGCTCACTGTAACCTCTGCCTCCCAAGTTCAAGTGATTCTTCTGACTCAGCCTCCCAAGTAGCTGGGATACAGGTACCCATCACCACACCTGGCTAATTTTTTGTATTGTTAGTAGAGACAGGGTTTTACTATGTTGGCCAGACTGGTCTTGAACTCCTGACCTCAGGTGATCCACCCGCCTTGGCCTACCAAAGTGCTGGGATTACAGGTGTGAGCCACTGCACCTGGCTGGCCCCTACTTTTGCACTGTTTTGTGCTGATTTATCCCTTGCTTTGCGACTTGGTTACTTCCCTTCTGAGAGCTTCAGTGTCCTCATCAGTTAAGTGGCCAGAATAATTGTTTATTTATTTATTTATTTATTTTTAATTGCATTTTAGGTTTTGGGGTACATGTGCAGAACATGCAAGACAGTTGCATAGGTACACACATGGCAGTGTGTATCGCTGCCTTCCTCCCCTTCACCCACATTTGGCATTTCTCCCCAGGCTATCCCTCCCAGAATAATTGATAGTCCTACTTCAGCTGGCTACTTGAAGACCAGTGCATGGGCAGCATTTAGCCAACTGTTTGGCACCCAATAAATGCTCAGTACATTTCTGCTCTTGTCATTACCCCTTCATCTTGACATCTCTTGTCTCTGGTTATTCTCACAACAACCCAGCAAATCTCCATTTTATAGATCAGGAAACTTGAGACAGTGAAAAGAAATTACTCACCTAAGATCAGTTACTAAGAGTCAGGGAAAGGGTTACATCCAGCCCTCCTGACTCCCGTTCCAGTAGTCTTTCCACTGAGTGCTGGGGTCACCCAAAACAAGGGTTTTTGGGCCTCTCTGGAGACCATGGCCTGGGTGAGAGGCTGGTGGGCACATGCATGCTAAGAGCCAGGGCAAGTCCTGCTCTTTGCAAGGGCAGAAGCCCTGCCCAGCATCTGGACACCCACCCGGTACTTACAGGAGCTCTTAAGCTCGCCGTTCACCCTGGTTGCTGGGTAGCTGCTGTCTGCGTCCTCATAGTAGCCATCCACAATTGAGTGGGCAGGGCTGTAGCCATCTGTGTCAGAAAGAGACTGTATTGTCAGAAAGAGATGTATTTTGGAGAAATGCAGGCAGACTCCAGAGGGGCTAGGACTAGGGAGACCCTGACACCCATGCTCCTCCTCAGGGAAGAGACAGCAGGTGTTCTGAGCAGCTCTGGCCAGGGTTTGAGGCCTCTTCTCTGCATCTCATCTGTTCTAGCTCCCCATAGTCCCTCTGCTCCTGTCACCAGAAACTGCCCTGCTGGGCTATCATATCTCCCGGCCTGTGTTCATGTTGTTGCCTGTACTCTCTTATCTTCTACTGAGGACTTCTACTCATCCGTTAAGACCCAGATCAAAGATCTTTCCTGACTTTCTCAGGCAGTGAGTGGTCAGCTCCTCCTCTGTGACCCCAGAGCATAGCGATGTACCAGCTGCCTGGGCTGAGACCTCCCTTCCTGTTCTGCCTTCTCATCTTCTTCCACCTTAGCCCTTCCTCTCACTTCCTAATACATCTGCTCCCTCTTGTTGTGAAAATCATTCACCTTCTAAGCCTCTGAGACTGCAAAGAAAGAACTGGACTAGAGGAGATAATATTGCACATAATAGTGATTGCAACAACTATGTGTGTGGATTTTCACAACTTCCCATTTGGAGCTGGGAGGTAGTATGGTGCAGTGACAGAGTTAGTGGGATGTCTCAAGCTGTATTTTGTGTCAGAATCACCTGGGACTTGTTTGAAAATGCAGACCCCTGGGCTGTATCCCCAGAGATTCTGGTTCACTGGGGTGGGCTGGGTTGAGCAATCTGCATTAAAAATGACTAATAGGAAAATCCTAAACATATGTAAAGATAGAAACTATGCTGAACTCCAATGAGATGGAACAAATTTATTTAATAATTATTTAGAAAGGTTATTTTGATGCAGGCAGTCCCTGGAACATACTTTGAAGTTCAGATGGTTAAGAGCATGTACTTTGGTATCAATCAGAGTTGAGTTCAAATCCTATCTTTATCATTTACTGAGTGACCTCAAAAAGAAAAGTCTCTCCTCATTTCAGATTCTTGATCTGTAAAGTGACCTGAGCAATTCCCACCTTGGCTTAGTGGTACAATGCATGTTGATTCTCAGGACAGCGCCTGGCACACACAGCATGCTAAACAAATGCCAGCTGTTGTTACTGTGATTGTCTCCTTTGATTCCCACTAGGCAGGGAGGTAGATATCAGTTCCATTTTACAGACAAGAAACAAGCCACACACCGTTTGCTGGTGACAGAACCTGGATCAGAACTAAGAGTGCCTGCTCAGGGGTTGGCGCATATCCCCCACTCCAGGAAGCCTTCCTTCACCCAGTCCAACTCACTCTCATAGCACATTGCTCTTCAGAACGCTGCTCTGGGCTCCTAGCCCCTCCTGCGCATCTGTTTCCTGAGGACGGCAGCACTGACATTCCCAGTGACTGGGACACACAGTTCTATCTCCCAAGTGAGGCTCGGAGCCCGCCTTTCCAGCAGGCACCCTGAGGCCTCAGACACTGGACATCTCTGGGAGGTGAACAGGGGTGTCAGGGTTAGAGGTGTGATGTGGGGAAGGGTGAGGGGGCATGGGAACACATTGCTAAGACACCTGGTAGTGCTGGACACTGTGTGAGAGGAAGGATACTCCCTGAGGGGCTTGGTGTGCTCTCCCTGGACAGGGTGCCCTGCCCTTCCTGAAGCCTCCCTTTCCTTCTGCCCCAGGATTCCAGCTGCTTCTGGGAGGTGGCTTCTCTGCCTTGTCTGAGAGGGAGGTGAGCTCTCTTGGGAGGTAAAGGAGCCCCAACTAGCCAATAGGCTTGATCTGGGATTTGAGGCCCAGCAGTACTTTGTCCCCTATCCTTGAGTACGTAAAATAAAGTTACATCCCAACAGCTGTTTGCGGTAACAGAACCTCAGACTATTAAGGCGGAAGAGGGCTGTGGATTACCTGGTCCAAGCACCATAGCTAAAAGGTGCAAACAGCCCAAGCTCCATCAGCTGAGGAATGGATAAGCACAAAGTTGTCTATCTGTACGGTGGACTAGTGTTCAGCCATAGAAAGGAAAGAAATTCTGAGGCATGCTACAATGTGGATGAACCTAGAAAACATGCTAAGTGAGAGAAGCCAGACACAAAAGGCCACAGATTGTATGATTCCATTTATGTGAAATGTCCAGAATAGGCAAATCCATTTGGACAGAAAGTGAATTGGTGGTTAGCAGGGGCTGGGGGTGGGATGGGGAATGGGGGTGACTGCTTAGGTTTTTCCCCATGAGGTGTCTGGGGTGATGACAACGTTTGGTGACTAGAAAATGGTGGCTGCAAACACTGTGAATGCACTAAATGCCTCTTGTTGGACAGTTTGAAATCGTGGAATAGTTAATCTTACATGTATTTTACCACAACAAAAAAATTCACCCATGGTAAAAAGCACAAACAGTAACACAAAGAGTATGAATGAAAAAATATGTTCCCTTCACCCATATTTCTATTAATTTCCCACAGGAAAATCCTGTTAATAGTGCCTTGCATATCCTCAAAAAATTGTTAAAATGGATGCATGCGTGTGTGTATCTGTGTGTGTGTACCCTATTTTAAAAAACAAATGGAATTGTTGTATACAATATTCTGTATTTGATGTTTTCAATGACAATAATAAAACAGATCTGTCTGTGCCGATCAAGCAATTCTCCTGCCTCAGCCTCCCGAGTAGCTGGGATTACAGGCACGCACTACCACTCCCAGCTAATTTTTGTATTTTCAGTAGAGACAGGGTTTCACCATATTGTCCAGGATGGTCTCGATCTCCTGACCTCGTGATTTAGAATTGATTAGATCAATTCTAAAATGAATTCATCAGCAGAGACAGATCTATTTGATTATTTTTTGGTGGTTGGAGAACATGTCACTGTGCTGCTGAATGACAGAGTAGCATCATACAAACATTATCTTATACAAATTCAACTACTCATTCTGAGCCATCCAAACACGAGCATATAGTTTCTTATATGTAATGTTAAATCCTTTTACCCAAACAAGTGATTTCATCTGCTCTTCATTCAAAAGAACGTCCATGTGTTGCAGTGCTGGAGGAATGAAAAGATCACAGGCTCTCCTTTATGGCCAGTTAAGAGATTTTCAGTGGTAACTTGTACCAGTGCCCACTAAATCATTTTATTGCACCCAGCTCCTAGTAAAAATACATACATATCTTTATATTTATTTTTGTATGTTATATATGTATATGTAATTTTTAAAAACGAATATGCTATTATCAGATCATAAACACGACAAAACATTTACATGGAATTTATTAAAAGATGTCTTGAACTAAACAGAAGTAAAGCTTCTGATGTTTCTGCCTACATCATCTTATGAACCCCTGGGTCCCCCCCACCCTACTCTGACAACCTGTAGTTTAGACCATGTGCTTTTTATTTTATGCATTGACCTGACAACCTAATCCACCTGTAGGATGTGATTCTACTGAAACAATTTCACCACCACGCTTGGGTTGGCAGTTTTAGTAGGGGGAACAGTATAATGGTGGTCATCTATGTAGCCGCCTCCTAGCACACTGACACAGGTGTATCTGGTTCCTCTTTTTTAAGGGTGGAAGAACAGAGATCCGTAGAGGTCAAGGGGATTTTCCAAGGCCACAGAAATCTGGGACTAGAACTCAAGACCCCAGCCCCTGGGGCCATATCCAATGGTCTACCCAGACTCTCACTGAAGAGGCCAGGTGCCCAGGGAAGCTTCTCCTCAGCCAGTGGTGACATGGTTGGGACGGTGACAGGCTTGCAGCTCCAGCTCCCGCCGCAGGATACAGAGGAACTTAGATCTGGCTTCTCAGGGAGGGGAAGTCCCCAGCCCCACCAAGGGGACCAGAACTTACTGTGGGAGCTGATGTACTCAGGGGACTTGCCGGGTCCCAGAGGAAGGGCCTCTTCATAGTAGTCCTCAGGGGGAGGCTTGTTGGGGAGTGGTGGAGGCAGGTCAGCTGCCTGCAAGGGGACAAAAAAGAGGGCTAGGGGAGCAGAGCAGGGTGGGGAGAGGGAGGCTGAGGGAGAAGAAGGCAGGAGCTCGTGGAAGGCAGGAGGCAGTCTAAATGTGAAGCCATACTTTTTAATAGAATTGCAGAGCTGGCAAAACCCTAGGGCATAATTATCCAGTGCTTCTTAACCCAATTTTTTTAATCATCAGCATTCCCCTGGAATGTCTGCAAGTTTTGTGGACTGCCAAATAGTAGTAGTCATACTTTTTATTGAGCACATACAGAATTACAGAAAACTACTGTGAGCTCTGCACTACTCTGTAACCACATCTACATACACACGAGTGCAGTAGCATAAGGAAGCGTGAGCCCTGTTCTTTAGTGAGGCAGGACCACCTGCGGCTGAGTGCTGAGCAACTGCGCCAGGGGAACCATGGCTTTACAGCTAAGTTCTGCCACATGTGAGTTGTGGGACATGGGGCATATCACTCATTCTCTCTGAGCCTCAGTTTCCTCATCTGTAAAATGGGGATAACAATCATGCCAACCTCACTGAGTTGCTGTCAGCATGTAAAGGACATAGTAAGTTATTAGTGACTGGTACCATTGCTGGTGATGATGCCAATGAATTACACAGTTGACAGAACTTCTTGTGATTATGAGCCCCTTGCTGTAATTCCATGGCCCCAGGATTGGGCATCCTACATCTGGTCCAGTCTTTCATTCTGTAGGTGAAAAACTCAGGCTCAGAGAAGAGAAGCGACTTGCCCAAGGCTACATGGCAGTGTCATAGGGCAGACAGAGGTCACCCAACTCCTGGTCTGGAGCTTTTCCTATAGCCTGGCTTATGTTATGCAACAGAAGTTGGGGTGGTGATATCCTTTGGGCCTGAGGGCACAGAGAAGTTCACCACATTCCCCCTGCTCTGCACGAACACAGTGACTTCCCAGTCAGGAAGGTGGCAAAATAAAAAATAAAAGAAATAAGGAAAATAACATACAGTGAGCATGTCACAGGTCATTGAAATGTTCACACAGTGCTGCCTGTGTCCTCACCCAAACCTAAGAGAGTCAACAGGGTCCAGAACTGCCAGGAGGGCACCCAGCATGAAGGGGAGAGCTTCCCTTGCCTCCTCCTGAGGGACAGAGGCCCTGAGGTATGGGAACCCAGGTCATGACTCACGTTTCTCAGGCATGGGCTCTTGGCTGGCTCAGGGCTGGCTCCTTTGCTGGGCTCCCCCTCATCCTCTGGCATGTTCTGAAGGTCACTCAGGTCACAGTCTACACAGGGTTAGGCCATTGGGCAGAGAAAGCCAAGGATGAGCAGCCTAGCCCAGGGGAAGAGGGCTGGATTTGGGGTCAGGAGGCCTGAGTGTGAGGTTGGGCTCTACCACCCCTCCATTAATAACCCTAAGTAAATGACTTATGACTCTGAAACTCATGTGTATGCTGGCTGCAATGATGTCTGCCTTGCCTGTCTTCCAGGATTGCAGGGAGGATCAAATAAAATCATATTTGTTATGGTACTTTGGAAATCTTTGAGGGTTATGTCATGAAGGCACAGTGTGCTCCCTGTCTGTGAGTCCCCAATGCTCTCTCGCTGGGCCTGTAGCTTTCTTTCTATGTCGAACAGGGCTGTGTTCCCTCAGGAAAGGGCTAGGACAGCAGGTACTCTGCATGCAGCCATGCAAGCTCTCATTTCTGCTGAGCCACTGCACTGCTCAGCCCAGTGTCTCTAGTGGTAATCACCTGGGCATGGCCGGCAAGGAAACAACCTAATGTGCCATGCCTTCTTTGGATCGCATGGCCATCCCTAACATTCCTCAAATCTCTAAGATGAATTCCTATTTCCATGCAGACTTTGATTAGACTTTCAGAGCTGGCAGAGCCCAGAGGGGTCAAGGACTTGCCCAAAGCGATTTAATGATGTTAGAGCCAGGCCCAGCCCAGTCCTGGGACCCTGCCACACACACAGGGAGAGAGGGATGGCTCTGTAGCTGAGGCTGGGAGAGGGTCGCTTACCAAATTCTTCAAAAAGGGACTCCACGAAGCTGGGCCCTGAGTGGAGGTCTGCTGTGTTCACATACAGGTAGGAGACCTCCTTTGCTGTGAGGAAGAAGGGGGACATACCAGCTGTGAAGGTGGAGGGGTCAGGTCTCCTTCACCCCACTCATACTTCTAGCCCACACGGGACACAGTGCTCACTTTGCAAAGTGCATTCATGTCCTAAATTATTTCACTGGTTTTCCAACTTTTAGTTTTTACGATGTTATTGAAGATCTCTTTCTCTAAGTAAAAGGATGCCCAGAAGCCAAGCATGGAGACAGATTATTGGGGCTGCCAGGCTTATGTGAGGTTGTATATGTGTCATGTGTCAGGTGTGGTGGATGTGTGTGGGGCATGGGAGCATGTAGAGTTGTGTGAGGGGCTGTGTGTGTGTGTGTTGTAGATCAGTGTGGGGGGTGTGTTGTATGTGTATGTGCATATGTGTGTGGAGGGCGGGGGTAAAGAAGTACAAAGAGCACAGCCAGGGCTGTCGGTGGGGAGGTGGGGCTCTGGCGGAGGAGGACATTGGGCAAGAGCATGCATAGAATGCATTGGTCGCTGTGTCCAGGGCTTAGCTTTCCTCCTGCGGCAGCCCCTGGGGTGGGGGTGGGGCAGACGGTTCCTGCATGTTCTTGAGTCGGGGTGAAGGGAGGTTTTGTTGTCCTGCATAAGTGGCACTCTTCCAGGAAGGCTGCTGGTGGCTGACCTGGAAGGGGCTGCAGGCTCTGCAGGATGGAGGCCACGGCCATCTTCTTCTCCAGGGCAGTATCGCTGAGGTACTCGTGGTCCAGGAGGCTGAGCAGCCCAGTGAGCTCTGGGAGCAGCTGCTCCAGCACTGCGGAGGAAGGCAGATGGGCACAGTCACAGCTCTGTATCTGGGAGCCTGGCCCCTCACCACCTACAGCAGGGTGGCAGGGGAGAGAGGGCAGGTCCAGGTGCGCAGGCAGACCCGGGGGCTCTCAGCTGTCCCAGCACTGGCCACCCAGCTCCCATGGGAGGGTCCTGCTCAGGTAGTCCTGTGGTGTTTCTTTGGGTCTCCTCCCCACTCTACCTCAGATGGCGTTGGCCCAAGGATTGGACCTCCCTGGGCTCACCTGGCAATGCTGAGCCCAGGCAGCCCCAAGCAGAGGCTCTCAGGCCTCCCCGTGTTCCAGATTGCCCTCTGCTTTGCTGGACCAGGGTCCTTTCTCACTGCAGCTCAAAGCTCAGCACAGGTCTCAGGCCGGAGCCCCTGGCCATCCAGGATACAGGCAGGAAAGGGAGCCTTCCTGTCCCATCAGTTGATGCACTTCAATCTCTGGAACCTTCTGTTTCCGGTGCCTTGGCTGCAGCCAAACTAAACATTAACCCTTCTCACTCCATGCTACCATTGCCATTCTTTCTTTCCACGTGACGTCAGTGCTTTTCAAACTTGAGTGTGTGTAAGAATTACCTGGGGATTTTGTCAAAATGCAAATTCTGATTCAGGAGGTGTGGGGTGGAATCCAAGATTCTGCATTTCTGACCTGTGCCCAGCTGCAGCTGATGCTAGTTGTCCAGGGCCATGCTGAGTTGCAAGAGCACAGAGTCCTTTAAGGACTGCTACGTGCCAAGATCATGATGTCATTGATGTCTCCCTGTCCCAAAACTAACTTGGGACTTGGTTTGCCTTAGAGCCAAAGACCAGCTTCATTGCGGTAGTACTGTCCTGCTTTGCAACCCACTAAGCACTTACGCATGATAATAGAAGCCAACCTGTGCTGAACAATCATTACTGTTGTGTTCAGCCCTTTTACATTTTATTGTCTCATTCAAATCTCTTATCAAGCATTTTATTAGGTCCATTATATGGAGGATGAAGCTAAAGCTCCAGGAGGTTAAATACCTTCTCTAGGATCACACAGCTAGCAGAGCCTACAGTGAAGCCACTTTCTTCATTCTCTTCTTTTAACCACAGAGATATATACTGACTCACAGTATTTGCTTTGCTCCTACCAATAAGTTTTGAGGTAGGTCTCATGATCACCTCTACCTTGTAGATGAAAACACTAAGGCTCAGAGAAGATAAATAACTTGCTTGAAGTTACACAGAGGCAAGAAAGAAAGCCAGGACTTCAGCTCCAGCCATGACTCCTAACTCCATGTGCTGTTCTCCACCCTGGGCCCTCCTGAGGAAACAGGAGACACTGACCTGGAGCTGCAGGGCCTGGAGGTGTAGGAGGAGATACAGCACCATGCAGAAGAGAACAGGCCCTGGAGCCAGATCACCTGGGTTCAAATTCAGGCTCTATCATTCATTAGCAAATCACTTAACCTGTGGGTGATTCAGTTTCCTCCTTTAAAGGGGGGATAATAACAGCATTTGCCTCATAGGGTGGCTGTGAGAATTAATGACACCAGGCATGCAAAGGGCTTTACCCGGCACAGAGAGAATGCTCACCACAAGTCAGCTATTCTTGCTGTCATTGAAGAATTTACTGCACTGATCTGTGCTGATCCCTGAGTGCCTGCCTCCCTTGGCAGGCAGTGAGGCTCTAGAAGGAATGGACTGGACTGTGAATCTCTGCTTCCTTATCATCTAGTCTGGGGCCTGCTCAGTGTGGGTGCTCTTCATGTGTCTGACAAGAGAGGAATGAACAGATGACCACACTAGGACCTTCTTTTAAATCTAAATCTTAGTATAGATAGTGATCCTTGTTAGGAAAGCATGATGCTGCAGTGTCTCTGTGGCAATCCATCACCACCCCAGACTTGTTGACAATGAGCTGAAGGCTGATATGGGCAGCTCCTGTCTTATGTGCACTCTCAGCTGCTGGGCACTGAGGGTGGGGGGGTGTTCTGTGCATTTTTCCATCCAATCCCAGGGCACATCTGTGGGCAGTCCTATTGGGACTGCCAATGTCTATTTTTCAGAAGATGACACTGAGGCTGGGGCAGCTATCGGATGGTGGCACAGCTTGAGAGGTGGAGCCAGGCTGATTCCAAGTCTGTGTGATCCATCCCTAGGGATCAGAGTGGCATAACTCTGGTGGGGGTGCTGCTCCCCTCCAGAGTGCAGGCAAAAGGTCCCTGGAGATCCTGCAGCCTCCAGGGCCTGAGCCCCCTCCACGCCACATATACACGGGTTCTGGATGGCTATGTTTCCCTCTTTAAAGCAGGTAATCATTTAAAATCATTTTAGCCAAACTTTAGTTGTTTTTAAGGAAATCTTTTCAAATGGAATCACAAACCTCTCTGGCGCCCTCAATAGACACACTGATATGGCTTGGCTGTGTCCCCACCCAAATCTCATCTTGAATTGTAGCTCCCGTAATCCCCATGTGTCATGGGAGGGACCCAGAGGGAGGTAATTGAATCATGGGGTCAGTTATCCCCTTGCTGCTGTTCTCTTGATAGTGAGTGAGTTCTCATGGGATCTGATGATTTTATTAGGGGCTTTTCCCATTTTTGCTTGGCACCTCTCCTTGCTGCTGCCATGTGAAGAAGGAAATGTTTGCTTCCCCTTGATTGTAAGTTTCCTGAGGGCTCCCCAGCCATGCTGAATTGTGAGTCAATTAAACCTCTTTTTAATAGCAGCATGAGAACAGACTAATAGCACACCAAATGTTGGTTAACTCAATTCCAAAGCACTTACTGGGCACTAATTAATTATGTGTCAGCTGGGCACCTGGGTAGGGATTAGAAAAAATAAATAAGAGATTGTTCCAATTGTCCCAGTGACATTCTTTTGCTGTCTCTTATACACACACATGTGTAACTACTCATAGGTAACTACTCACAAAGGAGGACACGGCAGATGCAAGAAGGCAGTCAGAGGTGGCCTGGGAGCACTCCTGTGGCCTGCAGCCACAACTCACATTCAAAAGCACATGATATGTCTCTGCTCTTCCACAGGATGTTATGGCTCAGGGGTGCACTAGACTGTTTATCCCTATACCAGTCATTCTGAAGCTTTTTGGTATCATTGTCCTTTTATACTTTAAAAAATTATGGGGGGCAGGTGTGTTGGCTCATGCCTGTAATCTCAGTATTTTGGGAAGTCGAGATGAGCCAATCACTTAAGCTCAGGAATTTGAGACCAGACTAGGCAACATGGTAAAACACCGTCTACAAAAATATACAAAAAAATGAGCTGGGAGTGGTGGCATGTGCCTGTAGTCCTAGCTACGTAGGAGGCCGTGGTGGGAGGATCTCTTGACCCTGAGAGGTAGAGGTTGTAGTGAGTCCTGACTGTGCTCCCGCTTGGGTAAAAGAGCAAGACCCTGTCTTAAAAAAATTGTTGAGGTTCCCAAATTGCTTTTGTTCTATGTGGGTTGTATCTATCAATATTTACTGTATTAGCATGAAAACTGAGAAATTATGAAACACAAGAACACACAGATACTTATCCCACTAGCCTTCAAAGTTACCCCTTCATCACAGGTTGTGCTTGGAAAACTCCACTGTAAACTTGTAGAGAATAGTAGCAAAAAGATATATAATGTCTTAGTATTACACAGAAGTTGTTTGGACCTTACAAATCCCTGAAAACATCTTGGGACTGCCCCCAGACAGCCCCCTCATCCCTAGCTGCACTTTAAAAACTGCTGTCCCCCAATGAATGACTAATTGCTAAAGTTTTTGGGTTTTTAAGATCTGTCCCCCCACCTTTTTCCTTCCTTCCTTTCCCCTTCCCTCCCTTCCTCTCTCCACTCTCTTCTTTTTTCCTTTTCTGTTCCCCTCCCTCTTTTCTTTTGTTTCTTTCTTTCCTTCTGTCTCTTTCTTTTTGCTGCGAGGTTTCAACAATTTCTTGTTGCTATCAGTAAATGCTAAGTGTGGCAGCTTTCTGGCTTCTAAATGCTATACTGTTTCTAATTTAAGGTTTGTTATAGTAAGAACGGTTAGGTTCTGTGTGAGTGCTCTGCATTTGAAAACCTGAGCTTTAGCACCCAAGCTTTGTCATACCTTTTTTGTTTCCTTCCTGGTCTTTGATGAGATTCTTAACACTGGACCTTGATATCTAAGTGCTCTTCCTTTAACTGAGATTTGATCACCAAAGTTCAAGCAGACCAAAGGAGAAGAAAGGGACTGAGTGCATCTGAAAGAAGCAGACGGAGAATGAGGGGCTGCCAGTCCTCGTGGGGTTTCTGTGACCTGAACAGATCTGGCAGGCAGCAGGGGCAGAGGGAGGGGGACCATGATGCAAAGCGTGGCTTGCACTGAACCTGCCAGAGTCATTCCCTGGAGCTGAGCAGTTACCCTGAGCTGGGCAGTTAATGCACATTATCTCATTTAATCCTCCAATGCCCTACAAAGGAGGAAATGGAGGCTCAGAGAAGTGAAGTTACTTAGTCGGTAAGCAGTAAAGCCAGGCCTTGAACCCCTGCCTGTCTGACCTTGCACCTGAATGCTCCATCAGAAGACTTCAGCCAAGCTCAGTGCGGCAGAGGCCAGGAGGCCAGGCTGGGGCTGGGAGGAGGTGGGCAGATGTGAATACTGGGCTTCCTCACAGACCTCCGGTGGAGCACTCTGGGCCATGACTTCATGAGGCTCTTGATCTGGGGATACGTTCACCTGTGGGTGAGACCTTCATGTGTGGCTGAAATTCCTGCATGAAGGCCCTCTCCTCACTGGGCCTGTTTGAACTTCAGAGCTTCAACTGTGAAGATCTCATAGAAGAAAAATAAACTACTCAAAGCAAATACCCGAATTAATAGCAAGGATCTCATCCCAGAGAAAACCTGATATACATCATGGATATAAGAAACCTTTCAGCCAGTGCTGGGCTCTTCCAGAACAATACAGAGCTCACCCCAAGCAGCTAGCTTTCAGTCACAGTGAATACAGAAGTTTGATGACAGCTTCATCTTTAATGCTACAGAATTCAAACCACAGAGATGTAAAACATTAGAGAACTTATATTGGAGAGGTCATATGGATATAAGGCATATGACAAGTGATTCTGCTAGGGCTCATAGAGACCATCAAGACAAGAGCCTCAAATTTTGGTAAGAAAAGATTCCTCCAATGGGATTGTTGAAAATGCACATTCCCAGACTTCCTTTCCAGAGAGTCTAATTTGGTAGGCCCATCTTGGATCCAGGTACTTGCATTTTTACAGGTACTCCAGGTGATTGTGATGCGGGCAGTCCAAGGTTCAACCTCTGCAAAATACTCCACCAGAAAAAAGTGCTACAGAGGACATCTATGAACATAAGGAATGTGGGAAAACCTCTCCTATTCCTTACAAAATTATCTTTAGATATCCTCTTCTAAATAACTGAGAGTCAAGGTGGGAATAAGAGCCCCTGAAGATTATAAATAGATGGAGCATGGAGTCTTGCTTAGAGTAGGGCAGTGGCTAGGGCTTTGGGGTTGCCCACATGGACGCTGGCATTCTTGCACTGCCACCTAGAATGATGGCCACATTAGAAATTTTGAGCCCTGGTTTCATCATAGGCAAAATGAGAATAATAGGATCCCAACTGCAAAGGCTTGGGAAACTAGGTAAGGTTATGCTTATGAAGCACTTTGCATGGCACCATGCCTTGAACAAACGTTCACGAACTGATAGCCATATTGCATTTGTTTCTTCATTGTTGTTATTTTCTAATACTCCCCAGAACTATGCAGACTCCAAAGTATTGATCAGATAGCTCTAGGAACAGATTTGCTATAGTTGTAACAAGCTCCACAAGTATAGGGTCTGTGTCTCAATCACTATGCGGCAGATTCCCAATGAACATTCACTCAGTGAATATAATATTTTGAGAGCCTAGTCTAACCCTCTTGTATTAAACATGTAGCAAGTGAGTGTCCAAGAGGTTATTTGACTTAGTTATTCGCACAACCAGCTGGGGGAAAAGTATTTTGTGTTAATTCACATAATACTTACACAAGGCTTGATGCTTAAGATTAGTCATAGGAGAGTGGCTAAGAGCACAGGATTGCACAATTTGGGCTCCCCTTCCAGCTCTGTCATTTTCTATTTGTGGGCTTCTGGGGGAAATTTCTAAACTTTCCTACCCTTCTAATTCTTCATCTGCAAACAGTGAAGGTAATCACAGTAGCTGCTTCACAAGCTCATGGTGAAGATGAAATGAACTGATGTGTATGGTGCTCAGGCACTCGATGGCTGCTCTCTTCATTAGTCTGTGACTGCCCCATGGAGTTTCAGGTGCAGTGGTAGGCACGAAGGAGGAGGGTATGGGGACAAGAGGGCATGGTGGGACTCTGCAAGCCTCATCCTGTGGACTATTCATGGCTCTGGCCCTGACACTGAGCTTCAGATGGCTGTGGCACAAGGAGCTGGCGGAGCTCCTTCCCTCAGGCTGCTGACATCCCAAGGACCCCCTCCATGCAAGGTGAGGAGACAATATCTTCTAGAGGGAGGAGCAGTCATGTAACCGAGGAATCCTGGGTCCCTACTGTCCCTAGTCAGGCAAAATTTTGTTCCTAGTTCCTAAGCTGCCCCCCTCTCCTGTTTTTGCTCTCGGTTCAGGTCATCTGTGCTTTCTGAGGGCAGACTTGGGCATCAGGAGTCTTTATGTCTTTATGTCTCAAGTTTATTAAGAACCACGAATAAGTTCCATCTATCTTGCTTGGTTTACTTGAATCCTAGGGAGGTGAATTCCAATGATGGGAAAAAGATACAACAGGAAGAAATGGACTAATCATTGTTTATAAGTTTTCAATGTTTTAAGTGAGACAGAGAGGCTCAGAAACCCAAGATGAGGGATAATCATTCTCTGGGTAGCAAGAAAGTTTTTCAAATAAATTTAGAAACCTACTTAAAATATACCTAAGATTAGACCGCTAAGTCCTTATTGTTCCTGGTGAGTACCCAACTAGGAGTAAGATCACTTTTCTATCTTCTCCTCACTCCTCCCCACATGATGGAAATCAAAATAAGATGTTAGTAGAAATTAAGCTACCATAACAAGTACTACCACTTGCTATCTGGTTCACATCCCTGCTGCAGCCTGAGTGAAACCTTTAAGCAAGAGGTATTTGTCCCAGCCAGTAAGGACACTAGCACACAGAAGGTCAGATTGATTTAGAGATCACAAAGATAATGAGTTCAAAACAAAAGACAAGTGAGGAATTAAATTTCAGCAAGCCACAAGAATAATAAACGCTGTATTGGCTACTATCAAACTGGCCCAATGCTGGGTACTTGGACTCATGAGCTCATTCCTGTGTACCTTTTAGACGCTGGAATGTCCAAAAACGCTTGGAAACAGCTTGCAAATTACACATTCATTAAATGCAAAGCAGCAGGAAAATATACAGCTTCTTTTTTCCCCCACCTCACTATGTGACCAGCTTATTTACAGAGATCACAAAGATAATGTATCCTTCTTTGCTTTCAAAGTCAGAGTAAATGCAACCAGCACCATTTAAAAATGGAAAAAGGAGAGCTGTGAGACTGTGGTTTTATGAAGGGTCTACAATTTTTCTTGTGGTTTACTCAAATTACCTTTCTTATGCAAAGGAAAATGACACAATTTCCATCTCATAAAGGCTCCTGTTCTGGAGAAAGAACCAGTGCATTACTTTGAACATTTTTGATCATGATTTTAGAGACAACTTTCTGCATACTGTGTTTTAACAAGCGAGCATATTAGTGGGTTATGACCCATTATACCAGAGGGGAGGCAAGTCACCCTGGAAAGAAAGGCAGTATGCTGATCAGATGTGAACTCAGGGCTTGGATAGGACGAAGGAAAGGAAGAGCAGTCTTTCCCATGATTTTCAAACCCTGCAAGCTTTTCTAGAAAGACCTCTTTCCAGCCTGTCCCCACGCTCTGTTCCTCAGCCTCTTAACTTGGGACTTTGACGATCTGTCCCCTTTGCCTATCAGAGCACCCCTCCCCTGCCAGCCAGTAACACCTTCTTTAGCCCTCTCTCAACCCTG